TGCCAAGTGTACGCTTCTTCTTTCACCTCTGGCAACTGTTGCAATATTGGCTCCTTGTGCAGCACTTTCAGGGCTTTGGCAGCAGCTTCATGCTTGGCTAACTGCCGTGTGCGTCCCTTTCCAATAAACTGCTGGCCTCCGATGGAAAGCTCCATGTGGTATATCATTGGTCCCACTGGAGGAAAAGGGTAGTAGTACCTGGGCACAGTAAAGGTCAAGTGCAACGTTTTTCCCCCCCATCTCAGAAATAGACTTCACGAGGGTAATCAAAAGTAAAACAAAATGAAAGAATGTCAAAACATTTCCAAGCAGAGGAAACTCACTGTTGCATAGAGCGCTGATAGGGTCCTGGAGGCCGGACGTTGTAGTTGAAGTTTGGTGGTCTCATCCCCGGGTATGGGTCGATGGGTTTATACATAGGCTTTTTACCAAGCTTCATACATAGTGCATTTAGCTCCATTGTGTGTGTAACTCCATCTGCTGAAAGCCAATCAAAATGAACCAACATATCAGTAAACGGTTTTCTGCATAAATTTACTACAACAGAGCAAGTGGGAGGAGCCCACCTAGGTGCTTGCCTGTGTTGCGGGGCATCCTCACGGTGGGCTTGGGAAGTGTTGTCTCAGCAAGGGCAGATGCAGCAGCGGTGTGCTGGGCTTTCTTGATGCTGGTCCCCTCTGCCTCCCAATGCTGATCTCCCAGCGTGAGTCTGACTGAGAAGATCTGACAGGGAGACGACACACAAGAGTTACAGACAAGTTCTGAGTCACTACCATGATGCTGTGATGAAAAGATGACAGAAGCCCAAATGAAATAACATGATTGGTTTGAAATTTGCTCTCAGGGTACCTTCGAGTGAGCTGGTCCTTGTTCACACAGCAACTTATACTCAGGTTGGATCTTGTTGAAACGAGCTAACTCATTCACCAAACACATGGGGGTCTTCTCTTTAGGGTTTGCCATGTTAGATACTGTAGGGCAAAAAACACATAAACATGAAGAAATATTCAAATGCTCATTTCTCCTATAGTCTGACCCAAAAAAAACAGTTTCTAAGAAAGACCCTCAAGGCTTCCATAACAATGAGTATAAAATCCTTAATATTTCAAAACAAGTGAGAGTGATTACCCTGAGATCTGTTAACAGAACAAATGAGAAAGAGATTAGAAATACTGAGTGTATTCTAACAAATTCTAAGAAAAATTGTGATAATTTGAGGCACAATTATACATGGCTATTCAAAAAACTCTGTCCTTTATTTTACATACAACAGCAAATGGAAACAATAAAAATAAAATAAATAAACCTGTTGTGGTATTGTAGGGAGTGGCTGAGCCTGCAGGGAGGGCAGAACTCCTCATAGGCTGGCTGGCACTCTCCGAGGGTAGGGTGCCCGAGGCACAGGGGATGCTATAGCCAGGCTGTGGCTGCCCCATCTGAAGTGGAGAAGGGGCAACAGGCATGGGGCTAGCCGGACACTGGAATTGAATCTGGGACATCCTTGTTGGTGTGGCTTATAGTCAATTGTAGACTAAGGTCAAGATAAAAACTTTGTAGTAAAGCAATGGTGAATGCCAAGGCTGTAGGAACTGCTTTTTGACGAGGTTTGAATGTAAGCTCCTCCTGCAAAGTGAGGAAAAAGATACTTATCGTTAACCTTTCCTTTTCTACACATGAAGGAGATTACATGAATTTAATTTGTCTGAAAGCTATCACCGTCACAAAAACAAATCCCTATGGATAAGAAATGGAGTAATCCTGGGACAGGTTGTCTTTCACAGACCTGATATATTACTATAATTACATTCACATACAACAATAAAATCTACACAAGTGCTACCAAGCCGGATTTGGAATGAAACAAGGAAATTATTTTGCTGTGATTAAAACTGCTAACTGCACAACTTCAGAAGTACATATCATCCTTATACCCAGCATTCAAATCTAGTGACAGATAATTGGCATCTTTAAATACACTGCTCAAAAACACAAAAGGAACACTCGTCACAGTGTAACACCAAGTCAGTTTAAACGTCAGAGATATCAATCTGTCCATTTAGGAGGCACATGTGATTGTGAATCAGTTTCACCTGGTTTGTTGCAAATGTGAAAACAGGTGCAATGGAGAGGCAAACGCCTGCATGGTTTTGCATGTGATGGCCACAGACAATAGCTCTCTTTTCATCCTTGATGACTGATCCTTCTCAAGTTTTGTGTTCTGCTAGTGTCCTTGTCACTATTGGTAGAGTGAGGCGATACCTGCATGGTTACACAGGTAGTCCAGCTTCTCCAAAAGAGCACATTAAGATTAACTTTTATTGATCCCCGCAAGGAGAAATTTCAGTTTTTACACTCTGTAAATCATGAACACACACACAGGCTGAAATATACACACATGCAGAAACAGGATCCTATGGACATGCACTAAGGGAGAGATGTCAGAGTGACGGAGCGGCCCACAGCGGGCACTCCTGAGCTGATGGTGGGGAGGGGATTCGGTGCCCCTGAGGAACAAAAATGTAAATTCTGGTTGGCGTTTTTTGTTTTGGATTTTGAAAATTTCAAAAAAATCAGAGAATCGAAAAAGACCAAGTACTTTGAGTTTTCTGTTGTATCACTACACTGATTTACACAAGTCTCCTCCTGAGCACACCTCAGTGTTCAGGAGGTGATCTGGCACCTCTCCAGCTACCAGACCATATTTGTTCCACACCGGGACTTGAACCAGCGACCCTCTAGTTCCCAACCCAATTCCCTACAGACTGAGCTACTGCTACTAGCCAGACATGCATGTTCAAGAATGTTTGCTGTGTCTTCCAGTACAATCTCAAGAGCACAGAGGAGATACCAGGAGAGCGACATGTCTATTACATGAGGAGAGCTGAACAGGACCGTTAACCTAGCAGCAGGACCATATCAGCTCCTTTGTGCCAGGAGGAACGGGAGGAGCACTGACAGAGCCCTTTCAAATGACCTCCAGCAGGCCACTGGTGTGACTGTATCTGACCAAACTGTCCGAAACAGACTCCATGAGGGTGGCAGGAGGGCCCAACGTCCTCTAGTGGGATCTGTGCTCACAGCGCAGCACCATGCGGATATCGACTAACTCTAACCGAAGTGACAAGGACTCTAGCAGAACACAAAACTAATCAGTCATGCAAAACTATTCTGTTTTGGGGATTTGTCTGGCTTTTGCCTCTCCCTTGCATTCGCTCTATTCAAATTTCACCATAGCAGGTGAAACTGATTCCCAACAACTTGTGCTTCCTGAAAGGACAGATTGATACCCCTTAAAGTTGAACTGACTTGGAGCTATTCTGCCATGATTTTGTGTGCCTTCATTTTTTTTTGAGCAGTGAAATTTTACTTGTAAGACTGAAAAAAGGATCATGAACTTAAACAATAGACATTCTGCCTTAAAGGCTAACATTTTCACGATTGTTTGACTACTTCTACAACTCAATACATATAAATAATCACAACAAACAGCAGAGTGAGAAACATAAACATTCCAAATTAATGTTTACTAATCTGCTCCTGTGCAGTAATCACAGATATAATATTCTCAGCCTTCATGCAAACTAACATACATGTCGCAAGGGAAAATATGAATCAGCGTTATTAATTTCACTGCAACTTTGAATGACTTCACCTGTAGAACTGATTGACAACATCATAACTTTGGGTTATTCACTGGAGAAAGTCACATAAAAAAGAGTATCTTTGGCAAAGAATAAGTCATGAATTGCTGGGAGATAAGACAACAACCCAATTTGTCTATTTGTGTATCAAATAAGGAGGCTACCCTACATGCCCCAGCAAGACAACAAGGTGACTGTACCCCCATGGCTGTTACTGTTTTCGCACCAATATTCCCCTTAACTGTGGTTATGAATGAAAGACAGTGCTGATCTGAAACATGGTTATCATTGTTCTCACTGAAGATGTTAAGGTTGGGAGGAGTCGATCTGTTTGGCTCTTGTGTGGGCCTTGTATCGCCCTCCATTATTTGACACAACTCAAACTTATTTGCATCAATTTCAACCTCTACATCAGCCTGTTAAATGTCGGCTTTAAAAGGGTGAACGCTTTTGTAAATAAAATGCAAACCTACACCTTTGTTAGTTTTGGAAGAAGATTAAACCGGCAAGCTAGAGATGCTCAAACTAGTGCAGCGCTCTGCAGGCTTGTAGAAAAAAAAAAAGCCATTTAAAGCCAATGATTTACTCTGAAAACATAAGACTTGCATGTTTTCAAGTTAAATAAGTGTCCGTGCAAAAAAATATCAGACTGCCAGTCATGCAATAACTGAGTATGGCTTCATAAAACCAGGTCGCCGGTGAGCCAGGGGGGCTCTCCAGAAGACCACGTTAGCTTACGAGCTACAGGGGCAGAGACGAACATTTATTGTAATACTTCTCGAAAAAGAAAAAGACTTCAGACACTCAAAATCTTAAAGCAACGCATTCTTCAAAAGGTTGCACTCACTGCACAGAAGCAGCAGCGACTGACAGTACTTTATTCTCTTATAAACATGCTTGTTATCTTTTTTCCCTCTACGAGTCTGGGAGTAGCCGGTGAATTTGCTAGCTAGCTAACCCCGACCCCCCCCCCAAGTCAGTGCACAGAATAAACCTCACCTCGTCGTTCCTTTTGTTCAGTTTTGTGTTACTCCATAGTACACCTTCATTTACTCTTGTTTTCTCTGGTTCATAGTCTGTATGAAGAGTCTGTTTTATGTTAGTTTTATCTCAAAATGCGGGCGGTGAGGAGGTGGACATTGGGAAAACAGGGCAAACACTAAAGAGAATGGCCCAATCGTGACTGTCTCTCCAGGAAGTGACGTCGACAGAGAGGAACTACTTCCCAAAGATAGTGGAGGAGCTATCACGCTGTCATTATTCACAGTCTATGTTATTATTACAAATATGACCTAGAAATAATCCAAACACAAAAATGATTTAAAAAAAAGTAAAAGAAAGAATAAAACAGTTCAAACATGATGTTCCAAATTTTTATTCTGTATTAATTAATAAGCCAAAACACCGGTTTTGCAGCATGAATAAACTGGTCTGTAAAAAAATTGAAATTCACACACAAGTTACTATCAAGCTCATTATTTCAAGCTAATAAATATAAAACTGATCATGATTCACTATAAAATATTGCTTCTATGGGCTAAAATCCTTCCTACACTCCATAGCTTGAGGACAGGAGCAGTGAGTGAGCTGGTTATAAGTGGTCAGTGTCCAACAAGTTAAAGGTTGTGTGCCTGACAGATGTTCAGAGAGTCTCTGAGCATCAAGTCACGCAGGCGCCACAGTGCATCGGCCATGGTGGTGTGGGCTCCTTTGCTCTTTAGCCAATGAGCTGGCAACCGGCTCTCCTGCTCTTTGGTCAGGTAAGCATCTCGCCTTTGAGCTGTCATGGAAAAAGATGGTTGATCTTGTTAAATTAAGAAGTTGAAAGGTATACAATGAAGTTATGATGAGAAAATATTAAGACCCACACCCTCAAATCTTATTAGAGCATGTGGGGGTTATCTGTGGTATGTTGTATCCAACATAAAACTATTGCACACCCAGAAAATGAAAATAAAGACTTAAGGACCCCCACCTCTGAGCGTTTGGTCCCACTTGCTGACAGTGCTCGACTCTGAATTCAATCCCTCAATGTACTTCAGGTAGGCTTCAGAGTGGAGCACCCTCTGGGTCTTTGGTGGTGGAGCCACAAACATGGGAGAGGTTGGCTGCAGGTGTGATGGCTGTCCTTGTCCTGGATATGGTGGAGGAGCATGTGGTCCCGGGCTGAACATCCCAGGCTAAAATTGAAAATAAGCAATAGAAGGTGAACAACATGTGGAACCCTGACTTCTTTGTTAATTTTTACAGTTACTATGTAAAAGCTGAAGCAGATACAGTTGATTAACAATTGTGCAGGAAATAAATTATTACCAATACTCATGACCATATTTCTATATTTTCAATTAAATGAAGTATGCTTTATTGGCATGAATGTAAGAATGTTGCCAAAGAATACAATAAAAGCCATTAATAGTAATAACAATAATGATCAATAATGATATCATAACAAGAGTTACAATCAGGACGGTGATTTGCAAAGGATGAAAAAACTGGAATGATTCGCATCTCTGATATAGTAATAAAGGATGTGAACTCAGTATTTCATAAAACAGTTCTCACCTGTTGCATGTAATTCCCTTGTGCAGGACTGCCTGCCATGCCATTCATGCCAGGACCCATCATACCTGTTAAATGACAATATTTCATTTTTTGACGTAAGTAACTGCAGTTTGAAACTTGGATGTTTAAATATAAAAATGTTCAACAATGTTTTAACATTATTTATGGAAATGTACATTTTTATTGTCAGTTGAATGTTAGTTGTTTGGTTTGTTTTCACAAGCGCCATGTCTGAATATGCATGTGGATGTAGCATGTTGGAGGTGTCGCCTATGAGTACACTTGGTAAGGACTTTGGACACCAGAGAGCTGTAACGGCTCAGTGAATGCATCAGGCTGCGCGACCTGTGGACCAGGTAAACCCCTCCGGCAGGAGAGACACGACTGGATGTGACTGAGCAGGTGTGGCTTGGTCAGTGGCCCTTACCCTGATGAGGCATGCCAGGGTACCCAGGCATACCTTGCTGGAGATGGTGAGGAGACAGAAAGGGCCCCCCTGCAGGGTGAGGTGGCATTGGGGCCACACTCAGCAAGCCCTCATGGGGGCCCTGCATGGACATGTAAGGTGGGTAAGCTCCCATCATGCCTTGGGGAAGAGGACGAGGAGAGGACAACATAACCATGCATAAGTGACATGCATCTGACTCTAAAATAACATGCAATTCTACTGTGTTCTAAAGTGGCCCCTTTCACACACCAACCCTAAGCACAGAAGTGGTCCTGCAATGTTTGGTGTCCCGGCTATTTTTTTATTTTATTTTATTTTTTAACAAAACCATCAAGCTAGTGGCTTGATCTAATTCGCTGTGATATGATAATGTATCATCTAAATTGAAGATGTGTTGAAATATATTGTTTCTATGATGCATAGCGCTGCAGATGTGGACGATTCGGCCTGAAGGAACACTGCGTACTGATGTTGCTTGTAGATTTTCCAGCTGTCATATAGAGAATTGAGGATGCAACCCATCGTGATGCATTGTGATATCCAATTGAATGAAATCATTGCCAGGATAATCGTTTTTGTATCAAATCGTGACTACTAAATTGATTATTGGGCTACTCTCTTCAAATAATGAATAACCGTCTCCTGTTGCACACTTCTTTTTCTCCAACTTTCTATTACGAGAAGAGCAAAAAGAGAGTTGAAAGAGAAAGATCGTGGATGGCCATGCAATGTGACAGGACACCTGACTGTGATTCCAGCTGTAACAGACTAGTTTTAGAATAACCTAAATAACTGGCATATTGATGTTAAAGGGCCAGTGTGTGAAAGGAGCAGACAACACCAATGGTCCTGAGATGTTAGCTGGCATAACAAGCAAAACAAGTTAAATGAAATAGTAAGTATTTTGTGGTTTAAAAAAAAAAAAAATCATGCAATAATGTCATGCAGTTTGAGTAATGAGGCTAATGATGATAAAAACTATAAACATGAAACAAATGCAGCGGCAGCAAAAGAAGAAATATGTTGCTTAAGGTATGTAGCTTTAAAAATGGTTAGGAAATTAAGTTGATCTTGATTATTTAACAGTCCGGTCTGACTTCACTGCTACCTTGTTGTCAAACACTCGTGCTGCCTCTGAGAGGGGTTACCTGACACAGGTGTCATGTTCTGGTTTATCATTCCCATAGTGCTAGGCGAAGGCACCACCCCCATCAGTGACCCTATGGGGGTACCTGCTCTAGGGGACACTTGCTTCTGGGTAGGTCTCTCTCGATCTTGTTGCTCCACTATTTTGGCTGCACGCTCTGGAAAAAAAAAAATCTGTCTTTACTTCCGTTCACAGCAAAGGACTTTCAAACCCACATATGTGCTTCTTCTTACCTTCATACTCTGCTTTCTTGGAAGCCTCGAGGTTCCTCCACTCGGTGCCCACAAGGCGACTCAGCTCTCCAAAGGAGTAGTCTGGGTGTCGAGCTTTGATGACTGCTCGCATTTCACTGCTGAACAGGATATAGCCGCTCATGTTCATCTTCCTCTTGGCTCCCTCCTTCTTCGATAAGCCCTTCACCTTAGGAGTGGACTTTAGAAAAACAAAGACATGACAGGTTGTGTGTTTATTACAATCTTAGTAGCAAGGGGGTCAAGCCTTTGGGTTTTGGTCTTTTGGGTACCTGAGAAGGTGTGTATGGCATGACGTCCATCTCGTTTGCATGTGGAGTTTGCATCTGAGGAACAGAAGGAGTCGCTGGAGCCTCCTCGTCATCCATGTCGTCCATATCATCTTCAGCATCCTCCAGATCTGCCAGTTTTAACTCAAGCTCATCTATCTTCTTGTCCAAAAAGGGTGATGCTTCTTTCTGCGGCACAATCAATTTTCTGCCCAAAGATACATATAGTGAATAAACAAAAACACAGACTGAGCTATATAAATGTATAGATTTGAATAAGAAGCCCTTTTATATTGGCAATGCAAAGCTTTATATATGCGCCAAAATGTTTACCGTAATGGATGTAGCAGCTAACAGCTAGCCACATTTAGCTTGACCATCATGTTTGTTTACTCTTAAATCGTGTTTGACCGTGCAAGATTACACATTTTTAAAAAGTCCAGACCCTGGTTGTTGGTGAATTAATCGATTAGTGTGTGTTGTGCCGAGTTGGTCGTCGCGTTGCACACCACACACTATAAGAGCTGATCTGTTAATCGAAATAATAGACTGGGACACCAATATTACACGGTTGCAGAATCAGAATAAATGTACAAAAACTAAATGAAAAGTGGAGCTTTGTTACGGGGCTGTTGAGGGATCGCATTCTGCAAAAGGGCTAGAGTCCTCGCTCTGCTTAACTGACAAACCTGAAATAGTAGATCTCATCCTCCACTACTTTGGAGGAGAAGGAGAAGCGTTTCAGACCCTTAAACTTTTTCATCTGCTTCTCTGTGTCGATGTAACGGCTCTCACACAGCAGGATATCATCTTCCAAAACCTCAGTGGGTCTGCATGACAGGAAGTCCTTAAAGGAAGACACCATACATTTGCCTGGAGAGCAAAAAGGAAGCAAAAAATATACTTTGTTTTAAGGCATACACACATATCAAACTAGCAGAATGAGGGAACAGAATACGTGAGAACTGTTTGAACAATGAGCATTCTTGCAGTTCAGTCATCTTGCTAAGCTTATCAATAAATAAAAAATGATACAAATCTTGTGATTTAATTCACTTCCACAAATTACATAAGTTTGTTTCCCCTAGCAGTGAATTGTTACTTAGATTTCTGGGGAGTTATCAAAGTCGTACCTTTGACACAAGTCAAGGGCAGAGTCTCCTCCAGATGGCTCAGAAACACTTCTCGTTTGTAGAACATCTTCGTGGGTTCGTGCTCTGTTTCCTCAGGATGAATAAAGATCGGTCCAAAGAAGAAAGCACTAGTAGTTCCATTCTGCACCCACAGCTTCTCAATCCTGCAGCCCAGTCAAGACAGCCATGTTACATACAGTTTAACAAGTACCAATGTCACATCAGGCTCCATAAGAATGAGGTATTCTTACTCTTAGGTATAAAATACACCAAAACATTTTGACCAACCTGGCAACCCTTTGCTTGGACAGGCCGTGGGACTGAATATAAACACAGTCTCCCACTTTAACCCATATGTTGTTGAAGCGTAACTGTTCGTAGTACTGACAGTCAGGCTCGCCTCCGCTCATCTCCACGGGGACGTCCTCTCTCTCCTAAATGAATAAATATTCAAGACAAGAGGACTTAGTTTTCGTTTGTACTGTGACATACAAAATTCCACATTTTAACTACCATGACTTTCAGTTACCCAGTTCCTTGTCAGGAAATACCTGCTAACATTCTGTTACCCAAGTTGTTTCATTGTTTTTGCACCGTTGGGACGTCAGGTTTAACTTAACTAGTAGTGACATCCAAACTAACCAAAATATTATTGCATGAAAACTTCATGTGACCAATCAGTGAAAAGCATTTTTTTTAATGCATTGTTTGTCACAGTGTTGCCTCTTGCCCTAATTGTCTTTAAACGAAATAACAGTTTAAATTAAATTCAGTTGTCTGCCATTAATTGACCATCAGCTATTGAAATGTATGTATATTTTTTACAAAGCATTATGATGTGGTGATAACTAATCTATTTCAGATAATGCACCAAACCAAATTACCCAACCTTTTAAACAAGGCAACATAAGAAACGCATTTTAAGGAGGATTTACACCGAATACGAACTACAGTTAAGATTTATGTTGTTACTTATGCCTACTTTGGAACCTGTGAGCTGTTAGCATTACCTAAGTAGTTAGTTGTGCGTAGACTCCCTGCTTGATAAGAAATAACATTCAAAGTAGTCTATGTTTAAACCTAAGCATAGTGGTGCAACCCAGTGCTAGACCTCATCCTTTACACTGAATATTACTTTAGAGCTACTGTCATTAGGTCAGTATTAGGTATCAACTCATAACCTCTAACTCTAACTTTGTTTCCCCTTAAATGCAGTCAGCTCACCTTGTCTACAAAACTGCCACTCCCTGTGTATGAGATTGTCGTTTTGTCCAGGTCAGGCTTGGCAAACATTGAAGCAACACGGACAACAGGCAGCGGCACGTCCCGAGGGAGTAACTTCAGGGAGCTTGCAGGCATGGCCCAAATCTTGATCTTCTTGAAGGACTTTGACCTGGCGGTGTAGCGGGATTCACAGATGTACACGTCCTCGGCTCTGTAGCCCTCAGGTTGCATTTTGAAATAATCCTTCAGGAACCAAACAGGAAAAAAAAATCACAATTATGTGAACAGTTTTTTTTTCTTCAGGTAGATAAAAATGATTTGTGTGGTTCAGGCTCTTACCTTCACAAACATAACCACACATTTGCCCAGGACTTTACTGATGGACACTTTGTTGTAGTAGTCACTCTTAAAAACCTCCATTTCAAGAAACTTGCGTGTGGCAAGATGAAAGGTTTCACTGGGTCTGTAGAACCAGCATCCGTGGAGCCACTTCTCACCTTCACACACAAACCATAGATACACATATTAGCAAATAAACAACAACATTTAAATAGAATAATCATAGAATTAATTGGACTTTAAAACAAATAATTTCAGGGAATTTAAACTTCTGTCTCTGAGTAATTCTGTCTAGAGATTTCCAGTGTTCTCTGTTTATGAACACATAACTGTAAGTCATTGATGATTCTTTGTCACCTGCTTTATCCTCCCACAGACGCTCAATACAGACGATGTGTGGCTTCAGGTTGGGCTCTGATGGCTCCACATAGACAAACTCCCCCACGTGGTAGGTGCAGTTTTCAAAGCTGCAGTCCTGACTGTACACACGCTCCGTCTCCAACTCTGGCTTCCATGACCCTCCTTGCTGGTCCCCTGCTTTCTCACCCTCTTAAAGACGTTCATTATTATCAAATTAATACCAAATCATTATTTACATATTTTTTTGTTATCAATGTATAATCATTTTCAAATGCAAACCTTTTCCCCCCTCCTCCTCTTCCTCCTTCTTTCGGTCCTCATCAATTTCCTTTGGAATTTTCTCCCTCTTTTCCTGCTCCACGTCGTTGTGCAGGTGTTTCAACGTGTAGTTGAGTGCGGATGTGAGCAGGATCTCTCCATTCTTGCATAGCTCATCCCTGATCTTAATGAAAAACTGCTGGAGCTCAACAGCATCCTCAAATATCTCTGAGTCAGTCCTGCAAAAAACGAAAAAGAAAACTGTGAATAATCACTTTTGAAAAGCGGTCAGCTGTCTGTTTCAGCTGTTTGTTGTAAAGTGAGCCCTGACTGAACTCAAACCCTGGACAGTTTACAACAACTGACACAAATATGTAAACAATCATATTCTAAATATCTGCAAAATGTATGTCCTAAATTGGGACCCAACCGTTAAACTAAACACCTAACAAAACTATGTTTAAAAACAGTATCAGCTAAATGTCTCTGGATCTCTAAAGTTAAAGTTAATTACACTGCATGTAAAAGAAGACTTTGACAAAGGTGTTGATAAGGATTTGTTAAACATGGAGCATACTTATTAAAATTGTATTTCTTAGCGATAATACCGTTGTAATCAGGGATAAACAAAACAAACTGATTAAACACACATATTGAGCAAACACTTTTACTGATACAGCCTTTGGCAGTCTTTTAGAAATACCTGTGAAGCCTCCGTGCTTTCTCCAGCACTTCAAACATGTGTTCTTGGAAGACGTCCAGTCTCCTGTAACGGCCACGGTCCACATTCATCCTGATGACATCAAAATTAAGTGGAGGTTTTTCAGGAGCAGCTGGATCTACAGCAGGAATCTCAGCCAGTGAGTCACTGTAGCAGCGGCCTTCTTCATCCTGGTGGCCCAGCACAGACACAAACAGGTTCCTGATAAGCTCTCGTACCAGAGTTCCCACAGCAGGAGGCCCTGAGTCTTCACCTCCCTCCTGCTGCTTACGGGTCTCCAGCAGCACGCGATGCAAGACAAGAGCATCCCTGTATATCAGAGACTCGGGCTCGTTGTACATGCACGCATTGTTGAACATGAGAGCAAAGTCCTCCATCAGGGCATCAACATCTTGGTAACGACCGGCCACCATGTGGCTTCTGAGGCGCTCCATATCGATGGGTTTCTTGATCGTAGCATAGTAGTCGGGAAGCTCGGCACGGGATGGCAGGCGCAGGAAGATTGTACTTAAACGTCGACCTCGGCGGTCAGTGAAGTTTCGCACAGCATCATAGAGCTCATTTAACCTCTGCTGAAGAGGGGTGAGGTATTTGGACTTCTTTGGAGAAACACCACTTTTTCCTAGAAAAGAAAAAAATGCACTCTGAATCTGATTTACAATCCTGTTTAAATCAGTCAAAAAAAACTGGAACCAATAGCAGCATGCATTTATTGTTGTCTTTTACAAGAAGAACCATTACTGTTTTGGCTAGCCATCATTTTAACTGTAACCATTTAAGGGGGGTGAAGGGCAAATTGTGATAATTTGGATAGTTGTCAGTGTTCTAGGAAGGTTCACCAAACAAAGATTTCCCTTGTTTCAAAGTTAAAAGCAGCCTTCAAAGTTAGGAATCTATATGTTGTAGTACATTTATGGTAACTCTATGCAGTAATGTATAATGCATCCACATTTTTAGTAAATAGGCTTAAACATCCGAAACACAAATCAAACATACTTAGTTTCAGTTTTGGAGACCCAACATCATCCTCGTCAGGCTGCGGTCCCAGCTCTTTGCGCTTGTCCTTCAGTATCTTCTCCAGAATATCAGCATCATTATACACCTGAGGTAAATAACCAGAAATCTGTAGCATCAGTTTTTGAAATAAACACAACATACTTGTGTTCTATTGAAAAGATAGGCGCTCAGTGTAGAAACCCCTCATCCCAATTATGCCCTACTGATAAGGTACATAACCTACCACAAGGCCTGTCTTTGCCACCTTCAACAGACCCTGGCTCCGTTTATGCAAGCTAGCTAGGTAGCGATAATGCCAATGCTATCTGCCCTACCACATCCCTATTGGCCCCCACAACTCAACCCTGTAGATCGATGTAGATCGCTTTCAATTGGAAACCTCCCTTCACCTGTGTTTCATCCAATTAGTCACACAACACCTCGTGAAGACTGGACAGTTAACTTCAGCATCCCACAGCAACCCCCTGTCCACAGCAGCTCTAGCCACCCACCATACCCACACTAAGACTGCTTGATTATGGCAAAATAAACAGTCAGGATTAGTTTGATTGGTACTGTGATCACGAATATTAAACACATTGGTTTTAAAAACGTCTTCATCCCATGCATGAGTCATTTGCCCAAATTCTAATTACAAACACTCTGAAACATTTACCACTTGTGAAAAAACGTTTGGCCAAAAGGAGCGCAGGACGGCATGTGGCACAGTAATCGATGAATCTCGATGGTCTTGTTTTTCACGATCGTGGGAAGCCAAAATCATAATTGAAACCGGCTCAATTGCCCAGCACTAGCCCATGTGCAGAATTTTTTTATCCTACCTGCTCATCCACATGGCAATCACAGCCCAAACAGCATTTCCATCTTCAACACACCCAGGCTCTATAAATGGAGCTCCAGGTAGCGACAATGCTTAAACTACCAGTACCAACCACATGGCCCTAATGGCCGCGCCAACCAAAACACAACTATTCTGTTGGGGCTAGAGCTCCTCCCAGCTGGATTAGGTTGTATGCACTAGTCCTTCAAAGAGCAAAACAATTAGACAAAAGAAAGAAGAAGAAAAAAGCTCATGACGAGACTGATTTGCATTCAGCAAAAACTAATACTGGCTTTGTGGAATTCACACTCTGAAATGTCTACCTGAGATCCCTCCTCATTGTAATGCCGAGCGTTACGGAACATCAACTTCATGTCATCCATCAGGGCGTCCTCTGAGGTGTAGCGCTCAATGCGTATGTTTTGCTCGATGGTCTTCAGGTCCATTGGTTCTAGGATGACCTTGTAGTAATCGGGGTAGTCCTTCTTTGACGGTTTGACCATGAACAGCTCACTAAGACGGCGATTGGTGCCCGCCTCCTTGGCCTCATTCACTGCAGCATACAAGGCCTTCATTCTGTTCTTTTTCACATTTTTCTTGTGACTATAAGGATCAAAGAAGAATATGAATGAGCTTGGATGGCAACTCTCTATCCCTTATTTTTGATTCAATTTGTAATACATAATATACATATGCAAGAGAAAACAAAATGGATATACATTTTAGAAAAAAAACCTGTTTACCTTTTCCTTTTGATGCTTCCTGCATCAGAGGACAGAATACTGTCTCCATCCTCATCGTCTCTCCTCAGAAGCTCCCTCTTTTTTGCCTACACAAATAGACAGATCACCGGGCTTGGAACTATCTCACTGGACAATTACAATCACTAACACACATCTGCATGAGGGAAAACATCTTCCAAGTGTAGAGACAAAGAAGATTTCCTCACCTGCATGATCTGCTGAAGTCTAAAGGCCCGTTTGTAAATGCTTGAGTTAGGCATGTTGTAGCGCTTAGCATTCTCAAACATCAGATTGAGGTCCACATCCATCTGCTCCACATTTTCATACTCGCCATTCTTCATCTTAGCCCTGAGAAATAAACGACGTTATCAAGGGCATGAAATTATCTTTGAAATCGTCAATAGGTGAATCGACCACCCTAGTAGCTGTAAAATAGGGGGAAAAAACAGCTAAATCTCCAGAATGATGCTTCCTTACCTGATCTGCTGCAGAGCGATGGGCTGTTTGATCTGCTGAAAATAATCGGGGTATTCTCTGCGAGAGGGCAGCTGCTGGAAAGGTTCAGAGAAGACCTGACCCTGGTTGTTCCTCGCACCCCTCACAGCTTCATACAGCTGGAAGATCGGGTTACTCATCTCCATACTGGAACTCTGACTCTCAGCCTCAGACTCCCCCTCGTCATAGCACACAGAGCCTGCAAACAAATGCCAAGTTGTTATTTTTTTTTAAACACAAAAAACAAGGTATGTTTATCTCGAGCCAAAAGTGGTGATACCTACCAGAAAGCACGGGGTCGTCCTCGCTCTCCGAGCCGTACTGAAGAGCAACACTGACGCCAGAGAGTCGATCTCCCTGGCCTGACCTGCGATTCCTGAATCATCAAGAGATACACAATCAAAGATCTCAAACTAGTATTTCTTTATCAGATAATACATTTTGGGATTTTATTCGAGACAAAAACGATAGACTGAGAAACTGTAGTTGTTTAATACCTGATGCGAAGACTAGATTTAGTTGGTTCAGCATGTTCAAGATCAGTCTTCCGCTGGATGAAGGCTTTCTTTATGGCATTAGCATCCTAAACAATAAGAAAACAATTGCTTGGATCACGGATGCTTTATTGCACGCACAAAATAAAAATTAAAAAAATAAAAGATTTACCTTGAAAACCTGAGATCCTGGTTCGTTGTATGTTTTGGCATTTTTGGCCATCAGGTCCACATCCTTGGCCATGGCATTCACGCTTTTATAGTATCCAATCTGTGCACAAAGAATAAATTACAGCTTGTTCAAAAAATGTTTGCATAATTACAAATATAACGCACAACCAAGCAATGTGTCAACAAAACAATTGATTACCTGTATTCTCTGAGCAATAGTCCTCAGGTCTATTGGCTCCTTTATAACAGCATAGTAGTCTGGGTAATGCTGGGAAAGAAAGACAGGCCAGTTAATGGTAGCTTACGTGAAACACTTTGAGGAGAAGGTCTTTGGACTCTTAGGAGGACTCACCACTTTGGAAGGCAATTTCTGGAACAGTTCACTGACCAGACGTCCTGAGGGATCCGCATGGGACACAACAGCCTCCAAGAGCTGCTCCAATACCTCCTTCAAACTGCCAGTTGAGGTCTAAAACAGAAATAAGCAGACATCTCCAGTAATGAAAAAAAAAAGTTGTATTGGAGATAGTATTCAGCTGCTTCTATTCAACTACATGTTTTAACACTGCAAATACATTTACTAGTTAGTTGTATTTCAGTCTTTTTCCAGTGATCTTACAGGCATAATTAAAACATGTTATTGATTCACAAAGGCAAAAACCTCAACTCAACAACACATTTTACCTCATCTTCAGTTGAAATTCCTGGAGTATCCATCATGTCCTCACCATCTTCATCATCTTCATCTCCGTCTCCAGGTTGAACAAATTCAGTTCTTGTTTGCAAATATATCTCCCACAGCTTGCATGCAGCTCGGTACTCCTCACTGTCTCTCTGAATTGTTGTGCGTAAAAAAGAAAATAAGATTTCCATGGACATAAGAAGAGCGCAGCAAAAGCTTGTGATTTTTCATTAGAAGTAAAACAGCCAACCAATGATGGGAATACAGCTGTGCACTTTCATCTTCCTACCTTGTAAAATGATTTGGCGTTGTTGAACATGAGTTGGAAATCTGCAGTTAGTTGATCCAGGTCATTGTAATCTTCTGACTTCAGTTTATACTGAATTTTTGTCATATCAATTGGCTGGGACACGACTTCATAATAGTCAGGCAGATTCCTGGAAAGAACAACAAAGATCAGACATCACAAGGAATATCTCATTACGCTGTCTAGTAAGACCCACCAACCAGTGAATCCTTATTGCACACGTCAAAGTCAACTTTATTGTCAATTTCAAAATATGCCAGACATACAGTGGAATCGAAATTGCGTTTGTCTCCGTCCTGCGGTGCAATACAACCAAAATAAGGTAAAATAAGATAAGGTAAAATAGATAAAATAAAATGAGGTAAAAAGATAAATAATATTTACAGTAATAAATTCTAAATTGTACAAAAGGTACAAAATGGTAAATAAAATAAATAAAATGTAAAGAAAAGGTAAACTTGTGCAATATGTGCAATGCGCAGTAAACTGAGTGTACTTTTGAATAGTTAGCTTCAGAGTTATTAGTCCAGAGTTCTGTAAACTTGTGCAATGTGCAGTAAATTTGCTTTATCATTATTTTATTATAGAGGCTATTTATACTGCAATACCTTCTCTTTGGTACTCTCAAGAAAAAGTCCCCGAGTTGCCTTCCATGCTCATCCTTGTGGTCCCTGACAGCATTAAACAGCTCATGACATACAGCAATCTGAAGGGAACAAGTAATCACAATCCTCAAACACTATTTTCAAGAGAACACATTTAAACCAGAAGACGTACACACGCACACACACACACACTCTTGCACAAATAAAACCACACACTGAACAACATGTATTTACTGTATCTACAGGAGGTAAATTGGAGATTCTTCTTTTTTTCCTGCCACTTCCAGGAGTAGACGCGTTATCGTCGAGGTCACCGCCTCCACTGATGCTGCTGGAGGGCGAGGTGGCTCTTCTCCTCTTGGAGGTCGCTGACATCGCTGGATGGATTTACGACAGGCTAGCTACAAAAAATAAATACAAAATAAATCGGGATCACACAACCTGCTTGTTTAAAAATGAACATTGGTTATTCATATGTGGTTTAAAAAGTCTTAAACTGGAGCTCTTTAGCCGCTTAGCGTTAGCTCCGCTCGGATGGATGAGAAACAAAGCACACAGATGTTATCATCGCCTAGTCGACGCTTTTCCCCCACAACAACCCAGCCATTAAAATATTCATAAAATCTCCACGAAACCCACTTCAGCTGTTATAGGTAAAGAAAAATATATCTAACAACAAAGTTACCCGAAACTCAGCAAAGTCTGTCGTTTCCCTGAGCAAAAACTGGTAACGACTAGCTCGCTGGCTAGTGTTGTTTGAAAACTCCTGTCCGGAAGTTTAAGGTTGTATTGTGTTTGGGCAGATTAGGAAAGTGCCATTTTAGGCAGTGCTGCCCTCTACAGTGTGGGAATGGTAATGCAGCATGAGAACCATGTCCAAGGAGTATGCTGTGAAGCAAACATTACAAATAAATTCGTTGTTAAAATGTTTATATGAATAAGTGAAGTTTAAAACTCATTATTGTAGACCGTAGTGTAATTTAACTCTACGCTACAAAGAGCTTCACAGACATAAGAAAAGATAAAATAACAATAAATCTTTTGTCTTTTCATTATAATTCTACAGTCTGAGAGGGAAATTCTTGGAATTTAAAAAAAAAAAAGCCGTAAAATTAATTCATAGCCCAATCATTAAAGAATGTCTTTAATAGTGTTTCAGAGGAGTATGCTGATGTTGCTTCCCTGGCTGTAAGTGGAGATATATCACAGAGCTGTATAGCTTGTGGCAAATTATGTACTACACTGTCTCCATCCCTATGGGGACAGTCAACAACCAGTCTGGACGACCTTAGGCTGCTTCTGTATGAGTGTAATGAAAGAGAAACTGGCATGGGTCAAGGTCTGTGTGGGCTTCAAAACAAGAGGGGAAACTAAAAAAAGATTCTGAATTCAGATTCAGTTGGGGAAAGGGCTCAGATGTTGTCACTGATGACATTATCATTTAATCAGAATGATGTATTCTGTAACCATTGTCCAAAAATAATGATCATAAATTGGATAGTCAGATAAGATTAGCATTTGCCTAACCGTAATGACATTTTGACATGTCGCAATTCTAATTCATGACATCTACAACTCAATTCTCACTAGTAAAAATGTTCATTCTTGATATCAACAATTCTATTCTTACTAGTGACAAAGTTCATTTATGATATCTACAATTGTTCTAACATTACAGATATCATAAATTAATTCTAGATATCTAAAATGCAATTCTTACTAGTCGAAATTACATTATTGATATCTTGACCTGGAATTATTATAAGAATGTAATTACAGATATCTTGAAATTTAATTTCCACAATTAAAAACTAAATTGCTACTTGTCAGCCAGACTGTTTTAATGTTAAAAGGGCTTGCCATATACCTGAGCCCATGAAGTCCAGGTGCACGGGTCTAAGTGACTTACTCTGTCACTTGCAAAGGTACAGACTGAGGGTAGGCCTACTCTTTCTTGTGGAAAAAAAAAAAGAATAACAAAGGGTAGGATGAACTCAAATAACATGTAAGACAATTGTCATTTGTTATAGGCTACCTTATATTAACAGTAATGTCGTAGACTCGATCGGCTTGTCTGATCCATCCACTCCAACCCCTCTAATGAGACCACACAGGCAGTTTTGAGATTGTGGAAAGTGTCCCACGAGTGTGATGCTGCTGAGAGTGAGTGAAGCAGGGCGTCGCCGTGTAGGCTATAAGACTCGGAGGCAAATATACAGTCATTCCCTGCAGGTGGACATTATTGGGTAAAACACCCTCCTTCACTCTGTGAATAATATCCGTATACACAAAGACTCACTGTATAGCCTGCTGGCCGCTAATGTGTGTGCTTGTGTTGATACATCATGCACAGCACAGTGATATTTAAAGCATATTCATTTGTCTTCATAGTCCTTTGAAACAACAGTATTGCGCTGCCGGAAGCTTTCACAAACTAACGCGTAGATGTACCAGAAAGCTGTTCACGTAACAGACGGTGTTGGCTTGGCTATCATACGGAGAGTCACAGATCACGTTGTTTAAAGAACAGTGAGTGATTTTATGCTGCACTACGTCCACAGACGTCTCTGCTTATCTTGACGTCAGGAGAAGCCTGAGCGCACCAGCACAGCAACCACATCGCTCCCAGCGGGAAGGAGAGCACATCACAGCTACACATCGCCATTTAGGTACGTTTTATCCTTGTATTTCATCACATTAATGCATGAACAACCTTCTTTTGGTGACAACCCTTGTGCAGTGTCCATGTCGCATTTCTGCAGCCTGCTGATTTAAGCCAAAGATGCTGCCTTCCTTTGACTGTCGTACCCTTGAGCTCTGCAGCAAGGCTCGCACACCCACACCGTCTTTCCTTTTCCCTAGCCTTTGCTTGTGTGATCACCAACACGAAATCGAACTCATATCAGTAATGCAGACATACTGCACCGGCGAAACGTTTTAATTCCCACTCAGCTCCTGCTTGTCATTCACGCCCTGCAGCCTTCATGCAGAGCAGAGCTGCAAATGTTTCTCAGAGGAATTGCTTCAGCTTCCTTAAATTACAGCTCTTGCATTGGTAGATTTTGCTTTAATGTGCAAAAGCATTCTAGTTGTTTAATGCTTCAGATGTTAAATATAGAACAGGTCCTTCAGCTGGTTTCTGCCTCTACAGACCATGCACTTATTTTATGAGATGGTTTCATATGTGGTCCCTCTTCACTGTTTGCCCTACTTTCAAGATGTTATGAGTTGCTATTTCTTATTGCCTGATGGTTGTCAGTAAGTAACTGTAGTCGTTGTGGGTTGTGGCTTCATAGCTTTAAGCAGTGGTCATGTCTTCTTGTATGTGTGCAGGTGTAATTTTGTCTTGATCAATTTCCTGTTGATGCTTTTATTCTTATTCATTAATTATTTTCATTTAATAACATTTTGTTTCACCGTCTAAAAGTTATTTTAATCTAAATCCCCCTGTGTCAGATATAATGTAGAGCACAAGAGCAAAGCTTTTCAGTTAGTAAGAGACTACAGCTTCTTTATTTTCTTTTTCATTAACACAATAGATTATTCAGTCATCTTTCTTATATAACTGTAGTATGTTTGTCTTGGCATTAGGGCTACACAATAAATTGCAATTTTATCCGAATTGCGACACGAGCCTTCACAATGAACACATCACAAAAGTCAGATTTTATATGAAAAAAATAAATAAAACAGTTATAGTGTGGCCTATCAGTGTGTTCCACCTCAGCTGGTACATGTTAACAGTTGGATGGAGGCCTGGGTGTACAGTAATCGTCATGCTTTCAAATCATTTCTATTCAGTCAAATTTCAACCCAAATTTGTTGTCAGCTATCCTCACATTATTTTGGTGCCACTTAAGTGGAGAAAAAAATAGTTTTGGGGGGATATGATGCAAATACAGGTATGGTTAAAAACATGAAGGACAGCAGATAGACGTAGAAACTGTGCTGTATGCACTGTTCATTTTTGATAATTCATTGACGGTCATATCCTTATTGCGATTTTGAACAATGTTGCCTCACATCTCATATCTTTCTCATATCGTGCCTACTTGGCATCCAGTCCAATTAAACTTAGTGGTCTAAGAAATACAAGCATGAGCCGTGAAGCAGAACAATTTACATGAAAAATCAATGGTTTATTTAATGGAAGAAGAGTTTATGCTACAATCACATCAGTCAACCAAACTGTGATGGACATATTGAACTATTACTGACGCAGAGTACCACTCTAAGTCATTTAATTAATTACATTAAGCAGTGCATGAGTGCACATTGACTGTTGTATAATATTTCAAGTCAAGTCTTATCTACTCTTCTCCCCACTGTGCTGTAGAATAGTTGTAGCAGGATAATGAACGTGGTTGCCTTTTAGGAAACTGTTGTCTTGTCTTCATCAAAAGCCTCAGTCTCTTTAACAAATTTGTATCATTGAGTGATCTGGTTTTGATAACACAATGCAGCATAACTTGATTTTGAGTCTGTTTTAATTCTGTTCTTTTGCCCTGCAGCTGTAGTGTGGTGAATCCGATCCACGTTGTAGAATGCCTCTCGGAGAGGATGGAAATGGATGGAAAAAGAAGACATCAGACATCAAAGAACATTATGACTTCAAAGAAGTGCTGGGAACGTAAGTTGCTCTGATAGATACTATAGTGCTGGTTTCAGGGTGAGGTTGGATTACCTGAGGGGATAAAGTGGGGCCAACTGCACCCGAGGCCAAAGTCCTTTGAGGGTCCAGAACACCTCAGCTTGTCTCAGTCGCTACATCAAAAAACAAGGACGCTTTTTTATGAAAGGTACAATGATCTTGACTTTCAAATAGGCTGAATATAACATATTTAAGCTCCACTATTGCGCTGGTTGCTAGGTTGTGATGGATGCCTTGAAGTGAGATGTATCACAAAACATCATCGGCATATCTAGAAACCAAATTTAGGATGCTTTAATTTGAACTGGATGAGCTGACTCTTAAATGCTGTGATGTCTAGACACTTTGCCAAATCTGTTCTTTATGTATGTTGTTGTTCTAACATTGTCCTTAAAATGGAATTTACCAAAAGTTGGCAAAACAACTGACTAAAATCGAGCATAGGACCAAGTTGTGTTCCAGCAGTATAGGCAAATACTATAGGTGTTTTGGGACCGCAGGAACGTTTTCATAGTTCAAGGAACTATTAAAAGCCTCCCCCTTTTTCATTGATTCCACACCACAGGAACTATGAGCTATTTTAGTTCCGAAAACCCTGTTTAGAGGATCATTTTTAGCCACTGTTTCAGTTCCTTCCTTGTTTCTGTTCCTCTTCAAAAAGTTCCCAGAACTGTTTGTTCTGTATACACCTTATGATGATGCTGTATGTAGTCTGCTTTGTGTACTTGAAGTGTTGGGTACATTCATATTTAAAAGAAAGTTGGAGAGTTGGAGGGGTTAAAAGCAACTCATTCGTTCCCCGTCTGTCCATGCTGTCATGGCTGCCATATTAAAGTCTGGACTCCAAAGGAACATGAGTCACATTTTGGACGGGTCTGTCACTTTTTTTTTTTGACTCAGACTTGTCTTATTCTTGGCTTTTGTTTGATGCTGACTCAACTGTTTCCCTTTCGCTTAGAAGCATTCATGAATATTTCCCTGGTCAATCTGACCTTCTGAGCCTTTAAAAAGTCTATGGAGAACAGAACTTTGTATGGACTGGTCAAAGGCAATATAAAGCAAACAGCAGACTAGTAAACAAATATAGCCATGCTGTCCACAAGTTTAGAATGACACTGCCAAATCAGCCATTACTTGTGTTCTCTTTGCGCATACCTTTTTGTTTGTGTGACTGGTTACAAATGAGTGTGTTTATTACTGAGCATTATTGTCTGTTTAGTTGTTCTTCCTCCCTTTTTGTGAGCCTGAGTAACTTTATTTCCGATTTCACACTGAATAAACACTTTGACTTTAATAGCTAACAGCAGATTCACACTGGGAACTTTAACGAGCCATACAATACAGATGTTGTATTGTATTTGTTGTAAAGAAAGTTTGGTCTTCATTATAATTCTGACATTATGAAAGAAGCAAGTGAGACAAACATTTGTTTTCAAGCCCCTTTTTCATCCGGCCACTTTCCCTGAGACTACATTCAGCTGTTCTGTCTTACCGCCTACAAGTATCACATATACTATTCACACCAGAAACACAATGAAAACCAGTAATTGAAAAAAAATGTAATCTGTCTTTTTTTTTATGTATTCAAACCAGCTGCACCGTCCTCTGCACATCAGATTATTGATTTGGAAGACGTGAGAGAAAGCAGAACAAGAGCAAACTTAAGCTTGGACCTAAGTCAGGTTCACATATACTGCAGCTGTCGCCTTAGAATTGTGTGAAAAACACAATTGTCTGAAAACTCAAATAATTCTTTGATAGGCAAGAGGTCTTGTTGCAACCCTTCAATTCATTTTGCCTTTATGTTGACAACGATTGCTTTAGTTATTGCAACTCCAAAACAGACTATTCACTTTCAAATTAGGATTTATTACATCTTCTTTTAGCTTTAAACTGCTAAATTAATCTTCATTCAGTGGGTAAATGTTGCCTTGCAGCCAGTAATAGTAAGGGCTGGTCTCACAGCGACCTGTGACTGCACTCTCCAGGGGTACAGGACTGAGCCCAGATGGCCAGGCGGCACCCCTCCAACCCCCCGCTAAGTACAAGTGACCTCGCACACATCCACCTGTGATGACATGAATGCGCCATATGGAGTGTGGTTGTTTTCTGTCTTCCCTAAATCACACCTGCTTCCCCAGAGAGGCAGAACAGAATCAGATTTTAATGACTTTGTTACTCTGGTCCCCATCCAAAAGTGAAATGGCAGTGGGTAGATGACAAGTCTGTCCGGTTCTGTGAAGTACTGTAGGAGGACATCAGATAAGGCTCCATCAGTCTCTGTCTGTTTATTTGAAGGATGCATAGCTGCTGCTAAATCATGATAACCTCTGTTTTTAATTTAATACAACTCACAAGAACTCAAAACAGCCATTTTAATTTGCAGTATAATATTTAAGGTTATGTAACAAGGACTCAAAAGAGCGTTGCCAGGATTCCACATTCCCATATTTCAGGAAAAACATGAGGGGAGAAAAAAGCTATAGTAATATTTTCTTCCCTCCTGTCATTGTAGTTGGACCTGGCAGAGGGCAGAATTAATGTGTTGAAGGAAAGCTCCTTATGCTCGGAAGGCAGATTACAGAGGAGCTTTATCCAGGAATTCAGCGTGTGAAGTTAATTGATTTATGTTGAAATATTATATTCCAATCCAGCTCATTCTTGCAGTTCTACTCCTGTTTAGAGTCCACTTCAGGACAAGCTGTCCTCAGGGTGGTCTTGGCAGATAAAAGAATCCCCACCTCTACAGTTAGCATGTCTGTCACCATTTGCCCACATACATTTTTTAATTTGAATTTCCAAACATGACTTTCCTTTCAAAATGCTATTTTTGAGGAGGAAAGAAACCACACAGACAAAGCAAATCGTTTTGAAATAAGTCTTTCTTGATGAGCCCTTTAAGGAGTTACGATTCAGTTTTTAAGTCAATATGGTACCTCATATCTGATCATGTATTTGTCAAATAAAGGCGAAACACCACAAACGCATTTAGTGACATTCATGTAGTCTGGATTTCTCTACTGTGATATGGAAGCCACCCAGGCAGTTTTTGTAAAAACAGAAGGAGAGAGCAAAGCAGCTCACCCAAGTTGTTGAGTTATTGTTGTAAATGCTAGAATGGTCCGCTGATTTACCTTTCACTGTCACCCTAACCCTGTATCTTTACAGTTTGATTTAATGTCCCATGAAAATACGCTAATACTGTAACTTTGGTCATTGACTTATAAGTAAGGACAGATAAGTAAGACTTATAAAGGCGTGAGTTGTGATATTTATGGATGCACTTGCACCTGATTTGTCATGACAGAAATGAAGAGCATGTGCCCTGTTAACAAAATTGTTTAGACCTCAACCACGTGTTGAATTAAATGTATGGCTGATGCTGAGCTCTCCTTTTAAATCTCTCCTCTATTGAACATTACCAAACCAAATCGTTACCTGTTACATATACAGAATTTGGTAAACGAAATACCTGCAAAGGTCTACAGAATTTGGTGTTGATTTTCAGTTTCAGCAGCAGTGCTGGCAACCCTCTCAAAGCTTCTGATTGCAATATCAAAGGCTAGATTGTCATAGGCTAGATTTTTTAACAATCCTTTGTCATCAGGAAAGACCTCTGTGAAAGTTCAAATATACAGAATGTTTGACACAAGATATAAATGTGATAGAAACAAAAGATAGTTATGAAATGCAACAGTAATAAAAAGAGGAGCACAGGCCTCTTAAGGCGTATAGTACACCCTTTTTATTTTATTAAAATCCTCAAGCAAATAACTGTTGTTGGTAGAGACATATTCCCAGAACTATAGCAATAATTTCAATATACAATGTTGCCTACAGTATACATAAAGCCTCAGCATCTCAGATTTGTATTTTTGTGATTATTGGGGTGTCTGTTATTTTTGGTTTAATGCCTAACTGAACAATAACATTCACTTACTCATCTGATGCTCGTTCATGAGTCTGGTAAGGATGCAAAATGCAATAGGTTCCTCCCTGTCCCTTTTGCTACATCTTTCCACTAACTTCAATGTAAATCCAGCCAGAACTTGGTATATAATTCTACTTTCATTCAAGATATAGAACCAAGAACAGAACTTTTTTTTTGGTGGAGGTAGATATTTAAAAAGAAACACACGATGGAGGCTTGTTTTAACAGTCACTTTCCTGGCTGTGTATAATGGGCATAAACATTGTGACCCTGCAGCTCCAAACACTTTTAGAAAGCACTCGTACTGTTTGGTGGGTTTATAGTGAAGAGTTGAGGAGTTAAGAGATTTGACCTACACATGTTTTTAGTGAAGGAAATACAAATGTACTTTTCACATTTTATTTGTGAATGGTCTTGTCCCAGTGTTTTTGAGATGAATATATAAAGCTATTTTTCATAAACAGGCTCTTGTAAGAATGACTGGAGAATATTTGGAGTGGGGTTGTGCTTTGACCTAGACATGTTTTGTACACTAATCTCCTCCCTGCCCTCTCTTTTCCTCTCTCAAAAACACACATAAATACACACTCACAAAATGGATTAAGCTAAAAAGAGAAAGCTTTTTTTGGGACTTGGAGACATGTTGGGGTTGAAGGGAGCGCTAGCATCCGATGGGATCGATAGAGTGATGGATGTGTCTGCAGCAGGCCGGACTTTGGTTGATAGATGATGAATGGTTTTATTTAAAAAAATATGAGTTAATGATTTCTTCCATTGCAGCAAACATCAATTATTTTGAGTGCAAAGGGATTTATTATTATCACATTCTTGATCCTTGAATTGCTGCTTTGCCTTGAATTACGTACAAGCTTGGCCTTCATAAAAAAGTCTTTATCAAGTGTTGAATTAAAACTGTAAAACCGCAGAGCATATTGAAGTGAGTAATACATCATATAATACACCTTACTGATGGCATGTGAATATTTGTGGTCATTTTGATAAAGGTGTTGGCCGACCTTGAACAAAGAATTGATTGCAGATGTGCACTTGAAGTCTTCAGGTCTGCATTGCACTTGTAGAATGGTGTAAGCTTTTTATTGTCAAATATTTTCTTATTGAATGATGCCAAACTCAAGAAGTCACTCAGAATGAAGGGAGGACTTTTCTCACAGTTTGGAACATCTGGTGTAACTCACTATTTAGTAAGTGTTAACATGTCTTCACGAGTTCAACCTTGATGTATATTCTTTGGAAATTGGCGCCACACAATGTACCTCTATAAATCTGATGTGTCAATCAATCAGTGTAGTGATGAGTGTTGAGTACTAGAAAACTGAACCAACTGATCAAGCTAATGCTAGCTTGTTAATGTATCACCTGGCTTAAAGCTCCTGTGAGGAGTTTTTAGCTGGTAGTGAAACAGTGTGAAATTAATACTGATGTCTCTTCATGAACATCAAAAGCAAAGGGGACCATCAGTGACACATTATTTTATTTCTATATTGTTAGTATTATTGTATGAAACAGCTGCAGGGGGGTAGGGGTCAGATGAAGTGATTGACTGCAGGCTGCAGAAACAGACTATTTTTCCACAGCAAAGATTGCCAATTAGGTGATTTTTTTTGTTGCTGTTGAATACTTACACCTACGGAAAAAAAAAAAAATCAGGGAATATAAAAAAAAGGACACAGTATATCTATATAACAAATCCTGCGTCTCCACTGCCAGTAGGAAAACCATTTTGCAATCTAAAATTAGGCTTTTTAGGGGTACGTATGTATTGGAATCGGATCTGAACTGAAAAAAAGTAGATTGGTGCATCTTTAATGATCATCAAACCTAACTGATCTACAGATAGGCCTAACTGTATGTCAATGTACATCTTGAGTTTGTTTACAGCTTACAGTGCAGCATTATTCTAAGTAGCCAATTCCACTAACAGCACGTCACATTAAACATCATTATAATGTAGTGTAAGGTGAAGCCTCGAAGACATTTCAGACAGAATTAAGAGCACACTTATCAAAAGCACTGAGAGACGCTGACAGCGATATGAGAACGCGTGAATCAATATTTTCCCATAAGGACAGCTGGGATTTCAGTGTTTCCCAACAACAACTTGGATCTGTGTGTGTGTGTGTGTGTGTGTGTATGAGAGAGAGCGTGATGGAGAAGATGTGTGCAGAGAACCATGCTGTTGTGTCCATGTTGTGCTGATGGCTGTGGGGCAGACACCATCACACTGTTACAGATGCATGATAAACAGACAGAGGACACTTATGTAATGCTTCATCTGTCCGTCTGTCTGTGTGTCTGTCTGTTTGTGTGTCTGTCTGTTTGTCTGTCTGTCTGTCTGAATATGTATCTGTTTAAAAATTTAAAAAAGGCTAAAAATATTTTGCGTGAGTGAATCAATACAAAAACAAAATGACCTTCAGCTATTGTGCTTCAGAACAAGGACTCATAATCTTGTAATTTATCTCATAACACTTTTCAACTGTCGACTTATTTCTTCTTAACTCGTCACTTCAGTGCAGCTACAGTAGCTTCCTCTTTTCTCACTTCTAGTCTTTCTTTCCTGAAACCTCCTGAGTGCAAACCCCTACTGTGTCGAGTAGAAATTAGCAACTGGGTAGTTAATTATAATGTGTCTCACGGCAACAGCAGCAAACTCTTTGTACAAGCATTTTTTTTAATTGTATGAGTAGTATAATTAATGCATGGATCAGGTCATAGACAGTAAAGACTTGAGTCCAAAATACTATTCAGGGTTTTACAGTAGAATAAGCACTCAATGAATTGCTGAAAATTATATCTTGACATAATGTTTATTGTATTTATTGCTAATGTGTTTTAGTCAATGGAGAATCAACCAAAACAAATTATTGTCAAGAAATTTGACAATGTGATCATATATCATTTACTCCACTGATAGTTTTGTCACTGTCATCTTTAAGTTTAAAAAAAATATTTAAATTAGTTATTGTTGTGTAGGTTATGATTTGTGACTTTTCTCTTTTTCTAAAGGTTTATTTTAGAGAAAAGACAGGGGATAGAGTCAGAAATCAGGGAGAGAAAGAGTGGGGAATGATATGTTAGGCCCGCTTAGAGGACTTTAGCCTCCGTACATGGGGTGTGCGTACTAGCCACTAGGCTACTGGCGCCTCCCTGATTTGTGACATTTCTGTTAGAATTTTTTTCATTTATTAGCTCGAATTTAAAGAGAGAATAACTCTGTTTGTTACAAAAGGCACCGTGTACCACTTTTTTACAAAGCTGCTTTTGTCGAGGACAGCCATAATGACCATTGATTCATTTTGATGCTAACTAGCTTAACCTTGCTAGCTTAAGATAAAATGTAAATCAACAAGATATTCCTGAATAACAACACAAAGACTCATATGAAAATAATCCCTCTCTATTATAAGACCTATTAGAAGTGTGTGTCAGTTTCATCAAAGACACTTCCCTGCCTGTGTTTTCTTACATCGTTATGTTCAGGACATTTTTGAGTGACAACCTTTGGGCAGTCGATATGTATTCCCAAACAAATAACATAAGGGACTCAATCAAACTTGGATGAGATTGTACGGATTGTACACATGCATCTAAGGGGAAGCTAATATTATCATTGAGCCAGGGAGGAGGGTCCACTTTTTGAATAGTTTGTTTACAACAAAAACAAACAGTTCTCATTGTGCCTTTTATATTTCCCTAACAAAAAAATAATGTTGTTGGATTTGAAGTAAAAAGCCAAACCTTCTAGGGCGCTATAGCGTAGTAGTTAGTGGGCGTGCCTCATGTACACAGTCTGTGGTCCTCCTGACGGGCGACCCGGGTTTGAATCCGACCTGTGGCTCCTTTCCCGCATGCTGTTCCCCCTCTCTCTCCCTCTGGTTTCCGACTCTATCCACTGTCTTATCGCTAAAATAAAGGCATAAAAAGCCCCAAAAATAGACCTTTAAAAGAAAAAGGCAAACATACTCTCTTTCCTCCTATTTTAAACATCCACTAAGATTGTATAGATTTCCACTCACTAATAATAGAAGATTGGAGCTCTGAGGGAATTTTGCCCGTTAATACTGGAGGTTTAAACACATCAAAATGCTTTTACTGGTCGATGAGTGTGGGAGCTTTATGCAATTTGGCCCAGAGATTATTTTCAGGACTTTTAAGCGAATGAAACACAAGATGTGAGTGAGAATCGTCTCTCCTCATGTGCATGAAACGCTTCTGCTGCGATGGTTCGTTGAGCACAAGATGGCCACAGTACAAAGACATCTCAGGGATTACCACAGCTCCACATTGAGCGTTTACTATGACAACAGCATCCATCCTTTTCCTTTTAACGTCGCATACTTAAGTTGAGCTCCTCACATCCTCCACAGTGTGACAGAGGGACAAAGAGGAGGAAATATCTGCCAGGACATGAACATTGAACTTCCACTGTGCATTGCATGACAGCGCCATTTCATTCACATGTAAAGGATCCCTGCGGTTGCTAACAATGTGCGTGTGTGTGTTCATGCCTCCTCCTGAGCTCCCTCCCACACTTCTGGAGGGAGACTGTGTAAATACACACTATTCTCCCCTCTCAACATCACGATAATCCATAATGCAGTCTAGTCTCCCTCAGAATCTACATTTACTCTATCTATTATTCAACGGATTAAAAATAGTTCCCTTTTTTTTTTACAACAACTGATATTACTAAAAATGTCTTGATGTGACTATTGCTTCACCTCCTGAGCTTTCTCTCAAACCCCCAAAAAACCTGTCATCATTTTGAATTATTTATATGAACACCACTCACACTCACAGAAATAATTTTAGTACACACACACACACACACACACACACACACACACACACACACACACACACACACGCACGCACACACGCACAGATGGCTGAATGGAGGGTATTTTGAGATCTTTTTTAAAAAGCTCTGTTGTTGTGGGTAGTTGAGAGACCTTTTTTTAAGTTCTAAAAGCTCCTTAAAATCTTTTTTTGCGTGGGAGTCATACGAAATAATGAATTGGCACTAAAATAAAAAGGAGAATATTTTATCTTTTTAGTGGCTTTGTTTTTTTCTTCCAACCCATCAGCCTGAGAAGAATAAATCCTACACTGTCCATTTCACCCCTCACTCCCACACATTCCTTTTCTTCTCTCTTTTGTCTGCATAATTTGTGTGTGCGTGTGTGTGTGTGTGTGTGTGTGTGTGTGTGTGTGTGCGTGTGTGTGTGTGTGTGTGTGTGTGTGTGTGTGTGCGTGTGTGTGTGTGTGTGTGCCTCTGTTTTAGGGGAGCTTTCTCAGAGGTGGTTCTAGCCGAAGAGCGGGGGACCCAGAGGCTTGTGGCCATCAAGTGCATCCCCAAGAAAGCGCTGGAAGGCAAAGAGAACAACATCGAGAATGAGATCGCCGTACTGCACAGGTGAGTTCACCTGAGTTCCTCGCCACGTGTCCAGCTTGAGGAACAGATTCGGTGTTATGTGCAAACAGAATTCATGCAAGGGGTCAATTGAATGTGTGACTAAATAAATGCATGGTGTCAGTAGAAACAGTAGGATTGTGCACCGGAAATGTCAGGAGTAAAGAAGATAGACCTATTTTTAGTGTCCCTGTTGCCAGGGCAACTGCACACAGAGGCGGAGATGGTGTGGAGTTCCCCGCAGCAGTATTGAAGAAAGAGAAGAGACATAGAGGTTGGAGATGTCGGGGGGGGGGGGGGGATATGGAGGAAAGGGAGGAGTGGAGTTTTGCCAAATTCTTAAAGCCAGCATGGAATCAATCAGAGAGAAATGTTTGCTAGAGAAAGTAAAATAAATGATCTGATCTAAGGGAGTTCTCTTATTCAACTACTAGTGACATTAGCCTCTCTCAGCTTCTGTTGTGTGACACAGATGGGGTGTTCACATGCTCTTAACTTGCCTTGTGAGCCAGGAGATTGGCCTGACAGTCTGATGGCTGATATTGCAATAACAACATGAAGTGCAGCAAACAAAAATGAAAGACTACATATCAGCTCAAACTTACAATTTCTCTCTTATGTGCTTTTCCATCTAAAACGGCACCAATTTGTACGTCTGAAGGTAGCTGGTAGCTTTTCCTTATAAAGTAATTTTTCTTATTTATTGATTTAAATTATTTATTTTTTGCAAATGCTCACGTTGCAATGGCAAATAAACTGCAGCCGTGGAGTCTAGCATGTGTTGTAGTCATTTTTGTCAAACCCTAATGCTGTAATCTCCAAAGCTGTTCATTGTTAAAGCTTCTAGCTGCACACACTGAGCATTTTTTTGTTTCCCAGAAAGAGGTTTTCAACTGAATCTAAATCTCCTCTGTTTGATCTGAGAGGCATTTTTTCGTTCACATTTTTCCGAGATCAGGGCAAACTAATAGGTGTGATCCGAACTGACTGTAGGCTTTCCATAGCAGAGAGGGAACAGAGCACTCTAAAGTCTGAATTATGTAGCAAGAATGCCATCTGGTGTCCACCTGACAGTTAGCATTAGAGAAATGAGGCTCAATTAAAAATGCAACATCTCTTATCGAATATCTTTTTTTCCCCCCATTTTATCATCCGCAGAATACAGCACCCAAACATTGTGTCACTGGAGGACATCTTTGAAAGTACATCTCATCTATATCTTGTCATGCAGCTGTGAGTTCTGCATCCTTTACATAACACAACAGACTATTAGATAACAGATCACATGCATTTCAAGTAGCACGTTTTTTTGTTTTAAGCAATATTGCTATCAAAGGATTTTGGTTAAAGGACAGCTTAATTATCATCCCATTTCCCTTTTTAAGCTTCAAACATATAAAGTTGTACGGTTTTTCCACCATTGTAAATTCTTCTGTTTCCCTTTGAAACTATAAAAAAAAAGATATTTCCACATTTATTGTTATATATCTATATATATATTATATAAGTATCTCTTATGTATTATATTTAGTATGCTCAAAACTATTGTCTTGTCTATTTTTATTTAAGCACATTTCTAATTAGACTCAGATCTTTTGGTGAAAATGTGTTTTTCAAAGTAATTTTAAGGTTGAATTAATATTTGATATTACAGCATCAATTTGTTATCAGTGGTAGGTAGATGCTTGTTGAAGGGGTTTGAACTAGAGGTTTAATTGATGTTTTTTTTTAAATGACTATTTGGCTGTTTTCCCTGATTTTCGCCTGGCAGGGTGTCCGGAGGTGAGTTGTTCGACCGGATCGTGGAGAAAGGTTTCTACACAGAGAGAGATGCCAGCCAACTCATCCACCAGATCTTAGATGCAGTCAAATATCTCCATGACATGGGGATCGTTCACCGAGACTTGAAGGTATCACTGCTCAAGGAAGACAGAAATGGATCAGCTCCTTCTGGCCTGCAGTTGATCCCTTCTCTATAAACGTAAACCTTCTTCTTCTTGTTTTTTTGCAGCCAGAGAATTTGCTGTATTACAGTATGGACGAAGACTCCAAAATCATGATCAGTGACTTTGGTCTGTCCAAGATCGAAGGGGCAGGAAGTGTCATGTCCACAGCGTGTGGTACTCCAGGATATGTGGGTAAGTCAGACTCTCTTCTCCCCTCCTCTCCTGCCCCTCATCTCTTTCATGTGAGCTCAGCTCTTCTGTTTGAGCTCAACTCCCCTCTTTATTCATGCCTGTGTGAGAGGCTCTTTCATCCACTGCTCAGTCAATTGTAAGTGTTTCAGAAGGGTTCTTACCTGTTTAACGTGACCTAACAGACCATATGGTAGGACTGAGAGGTTAAGATTACTTGAATTTTCTCTCACTGCTGCGCTGTGTTGTATTTATTTCCACTTGCACCTGATGACTCCTGTGTGTGTGTGTGTGTGTGTGTGTGTGTGTGTGTGTGGTTCACAGCTCCCGAGGTTCTCGCTCAGAAGCCGTACAGCAAAGCGGTGGACTGCTGGTCGATAGGAGTTATTTCTTACATTCTGTGAGTCTGAGCTACTTCATCTTTGAGCGTTAAGTAAAGAGACCGCCGTTTCCCTAATTCTGACTTTGTTCTGAATCTTCCTCAGGTTATGTGGATATCCTCCATTTTATGATGAAAATGATGCCAAGTTATTCGAGCAGATTCTCAAAGCAGAGTATGAATTTGACTCTCCGTACTGGGATGATATTTCAGATTCAGGTATGGACAAAAAACACCTCCCATTTTGACACCACTGAAAAACAGAGTGGGCTGTAACAACTTAAACTTCATCACTGTCTGCAGCCAAAGACTTTATCTGTCACCTGATGGAAAAAGAGCCTATGAAGAGATACACATGTGAGCAGGCCCTGCAGCATCCATGGTGAGAGGGTCAAAACATTCATTGTTTCTGTATTTAAAGAATAATGAGAGATACACTGAATCTCATCCTTTCGGCAGTAGCTCAGTCTGTAGGGACTTGGGTTGGGAATCGGAGGGTTGCCGGTTCAAGTCCCAGCACGGACCAAGTCTGGAAGTTGGTCTGGTAGCTGGAGAGGTGCCAGTCCACTTCCTGAGCACTGCCGAGGTGCCCTTGAGCAAGGCACCAAACCCCAAAACTGCTCTGGAGCGCTCGCTGTGGGCAGCCCCCTCACTCTGACCCCTCTCCATTAGTGCATGTCCATAGGATCCTGTTTGTGCATGTGTGTGTATTTCAGCCTATTTGTGTGTTCATGTTCATTAGACAGAGTGTAAAATTGAATTTCCCCTCGCAGGATTAATACAGGATAAATTATTATTATTATTATTATTATTCATTGTGGTTTAGATTTTCCTGTTGAACATCATTTTATGCTTTTGCTAAACATGACAAAAAGACAATCCAATAATTGATCATGAATATGATGCATGGCTGCTATAAACGTTTTATTCTCAACAATCATTAACACATTTTTTCTATCAAATCTCCTCTTTGACTACAAAAACGTCTCAGTAATAAAAATAAATTGCAAAACTTGGAAATTCTCAGCGCTGAAGGTTGACTCAGTTTCAAATATAGTATTCAACACTCCAAGATATTTGGTTTACTCTCATATCTTCATGACAAAGTTTAGTATCGGATCTTTATATTTGAGAAAATGGAGGCAGCTAATGCTGAGCGTTTTAGTGATACACTTTATCAAGTGCCTCAGTTAACTGTAAACTTCCTTTCATACTCGTGTACTTTGCAGGATCTGTGGAGACACAGCTCTGGACAAGAATATCCATGAATCTGTCAGTGCTCAAATCAAGAAGAACTTCGCTAAAAGTAAATGGAAGGTCAGTGCAAAGAGCAACCTGCTGATAGAGCAGAATGAAGATTGGCAGGAGTTACTGCACATTCTGTATGCTGGTGCTGTTTTTCCTCCATCGCTAGCTGTCAGACATGAAAGGTTTTTTTCCCTCTGCTTCCCCCTTCCCCCTCTCTCTCTCTCTCTCTACATCTCACACTCCGTCCGAGCAGCAAGCATTTAATGCCACAGCAGTGGTGCGCCACATGCGGAGGTTGCAGCTGGGCACGAGTCTCGAGGGACCCAGCCAGATTACTCCCACCAGTCCCTGCCATGGACTTCTGCTCCCAGAGGAAGAGGAGGAGGAGGAGGAGGAAGACGAGCTTGGGAACGGGGAGGAGGAGAGCTGTAAGTGCACAGTTCACTTACGGGAATAAAGCCACACAGGATGTGGTTAAATGTTGGTAAGATAAGCTAGTAACACACATCAAAGTTACTGTGATCACAATTTGTCAACTTGTAAATAGCACTCATGTCAACAGCCAAGCTAATAACAGCGAGGTGACTAGTAGTGCCTTTCACTTTAACAGAGGTAGATATGTTGCTAGTATTTACATAGTTCTGTAGAAGAGGAAATCCTCAAAAGATCCTCTAGACTTGCTACTAAATGTTTGTCTTTCCTGCACACTTTATTAGCAGCAATCCTCGGCTACACAATTGTTCATTAACAAGCATCTGTAGAAGAATAAGCAGGCATTTGGTTTGCTGCACTGTGGCTCAAAAATAGATCCCTACAATGCCAGAAACAATAATTTAGCTATTGACTTTTATTCAGAATAAGCCACAAAATGACTTTGGAAAGTGATGCTTATTTGAAGCTTGCTTTGCTGGGGACGAGTATTCCTTTTCTCTACACAGGTTCTCTTCATTTTTTTTTTTTACGACTGTTAACGGGAATAGCCTCAAACATAAAAATTAAAACCACTTTGAAAAATCATCAGAATTAAACTTGAATTTACTTCTTTTTTTTTTTTATCTTCAGTGTCCCACTACGAGGACGGGCGCCGGGGAAGCAACGAGGGCAGCGCAGATCGGGACAGCCTGAGAAGCTGCACTTACTGCTGCCGGCCAGCCAGTCGCGTCTGAGCACAAACTCCCGTTGTCATGGTGACATTGTACCCCTGGAGCGTACAGAGCCCGCCCCGCCCAGTCTGGCCAGGAATGCAGAGCAGCTGTCAGGCAGGGTCCACAAGCAAGCAGGTCACTGTCACAGTGTGGAGAATCATGCCACAAGTTTTATCCCAGAAACCTAACAAAAAAAAACATCCGTACTCGAGATTCACAGATCAAGCTTATCTTTACTGCAGAACAGAATGCACAGCTGTTTTTTTAAAAAAAAGGCCTCTCTGCATGATTATCCTGAAATAAACCCTCTAAGCAACTAAACATGTAGTTTTGCCTAATGTAGCTGTAGCAGACAGGGTTCACATTTAAAACAAGTGGCTTCAAGAAGATGATCAGCTTGAAGTCTAACTTGAAGTCAATGCATTAATATAATCTTTCTTTTGGTTTTCTAATTATCCGTCACATCTACCTCTAACTCCAACTGTTGTCAGTCCACACCCTCTACATTAATGGCAGCCTTCTGCCTGACAGGGCACAAAGAGACACACAGTGCTTAAATTTACTCCTGCTTGTCTTGATATCCGTCAGTGTTGCTCAGTGTAGTCACTGACCAGGTAGCTGTTACATGGAGTTCATTTGAAAGGGTGTGTTCACTGCTGATGCCACCAGCCCGGCGTGTTCAGATCGACCACTCTGTCCTTTTTCTTGTTTAAAGAGGAATTCATGTATATTTTAACCTAGGTCATATTTAAGTTAAGAATAATATGAGCTTGTAAATGGCAAAAAGAAGTACCTTTAGTGGTTCAAACCAGCTCACCTGTGAATGCCCCGAAGGATTACATTGTAGCCATGAAAGCCTTGTTACGGCAATACTGGAGTGATTTCAAAACTGCTAAAACCTAGAACACAAACACCACTAATAAAAAGGGCAGAGGTTAAAAAATACTGGAATTTCCCTTTTTATGTTTTTTGTTTTGTATTTAGTTCAAAGTCTTTTTGGAAAGAGGAGATGTTTCAGGGTGTTTTGGACTCTATATTCTGGCTCAGACTGGGTTTGCGAAGGGTGGTTCTGATATGGAGTGTTTGCATGCTTTTTTTTGGCGAGAAACATCGAAATGTATGAATATCAAGAGAAGACTTTAATTATTCTTTTTTTTTTTAGTTTTATGACTGTTCTGTTTTCCGAGGCTCAAACTGAGATCCCTATGTTATAAACTCACAGGAATCTGACCTCAGAGGAGGAATTGTTTTGAAGGTGCATTCACGCCTATTTAAAAAAAAATATATATATATCATATCACACTCATTCTCTCTGTTCAGTTCCTGACAAGCGTCTGATCAGCCTGCTGTCGGTCTCTGTGTTTGATGCTGAGTGTCAGGGATCTCAGTCTGGGCGCTCCGCCTGCTCTGTGCTGTGCACCTCTAGTGGAAGAAGTTTTGGTCTACTGTTTGCATGACCTGGTTAAATATGTTTACATGAATGATGATCAATTAGTATAAACACACATGAATATTATTACTCTGTTGTATTGAAAAAAAAAATTGTAATACTGTAATTTTGAGCTATATAATGTGAAGTGAGTAACACAAGAAGTAATGTGGTTGACAAAGTACAACACAGCACAGTGGACTTATCATTTGCATCCACTAAGATGGTCAAGTCTTGACCTGAATAACTTTTTTTTCTCTTTATTTTTCACTTAAATGTTTTTTTTTCTTCCTGTCAGTTTTCTTGCTGTACATGTATGAATTATTAAACGATGTATCCCTGTCTGATTCCCAGGCACAAGCAGGAAAACTATACATAAATTAAAGTGCCAGCCACAGTATAAAACATGGAAATGATGCAGGATACATCTCCTGTCAGCCCTGGAATTAGCCTTCAAGATTGATTTGTCCTCATCCGCAGTATATAAACCAAAGCCATAAGGGGAAGTAGAGATGTTTAACTCTATATTCAGATAAGTTATCTTATGAATTTATGACTCAGATGACGGATGGCAATGTTTCAGCAACTTGTAAAGAAAACAAATCAGAGGCTTTGTTCTCACCGCAACAACTAGCTAAAGATATAAATCATACTGTTATTTATTTTGGGTATGTCAACACATAGTACTTTTGTTAGCCGTAAGGCTTTAGCCAACAAGCTATTAAAAATATGTTTTGTCCACTTTAAATGAGTTCCCATAAATGTCATTGAAACATACAGGTCCCTCGTGCAGTAAAATAATGGAATCACTCTGGATTTATGTGACCGTAATTGTGGAAAATATGCAAATTGTGTGTGAAGGGCTTCATGTTAAATGTAAGAAAGCCAATGTTGATGACTTTGGCGATTATTTGTTTGGTAATAACCTTATGTTGAACTGAGATTTGTTTCCACTTGACTTTTTTTTTAACTTGAAAAAAAAATGCTTGTTTTACCCATTACAAACACATCTAAATGCATAAAAGAAACACCTGTATATTATATATATATAAATATAAGTATATATTGTATATCCTTTTTTGTAAAAGCTGTTTTGAGCTACAAATGTATGGATGCAATGCATCATGGGTTATTGAACAAGATATAAGAAAATACGATTTGTACCCACAGAGTTACGATTGCAGGAAATTAAATAAAACTTCCTTGTCTATGCATTGTGTGTTCTGTCGTCATGCAACGGCTTTTAAAGACGTGCAAGAGGAAACGATTCAAACATTTGAACAGATAAACCACAGGCACAACATAATGTGCATAACATTTTTTATTTACTCATTATATTATTAACCCTTGCATTGTTAGTGTATTTTTTCATTCCATTGTCATATTAAATGAACACTATCTGAAAGAAGGGATTTCAAAGATACAATGGACACATTGGACACATATACAATGTAATGCATCTCAAATATTACTACAACTATTTACATCTGTGAAATGTACAACAATGTAGAGATGTAACCGTTATCATTGCCCTCACTGCAAATTGTCTTCAGAAGCAGTCTGTTAAGTGAACAACATTGTGGTTGTGACTTTTCTTTCTCGTGTGTGTTTTCTTTTATTTATTTGTTACTTCACCCTGAGCCATGAAGTGTCAGTATAAAGTGAGCATATATAAAGTGTCAGTATAATTATTGAGTCTGACAGAACCAGGAGCTAGACATAGACTCAGGTTTTGGAAAAAATAAGGAACTGGACCTACTGTAAATGCAGATAACAAAAAACTGAACAAAAGTTTAAAATGTCAAAAATAAAGGCTTACTCGCCAAAAGTCCAAAATAAAAGTTCATAAAGAGGAACGACATGGAACAACAAAAAAGCACAACAGGGTAGCCATATGAACTGAAATCAAGAGGGAAGGAACACTGACGCTTAAATAGACATTGGGCTAATCAGACACAGGTGAGACTAATGACACAGGTGAAGACAATTAGGGCAATCAACATGGAGGGAACCAGACAAAAGGAGGAAGTAAGACAAGACAAGAAACACTGGGGACAGGAACTACGAAATAAAACAGGAAATACTATAGACCAAAAGAGCACTCAATATAATAATAATAATAATAATAATAAAACAGTTACAATACACACAAGTGCATAGAGACACATGAGGAGAAATAACAAAAAAGGAAATACTAAACTAGGAAACATTTGAATAAAGAAACACACAAAGGAAACAACAGGGTAGAATGAGACAAAATAAAACAAGAAAGGAAATCTAAACTCTGAAAATACACAAAATACAAAGTTAAACAGGACCAAATCATGACACACACACACACAGGCTCAGTGGTAGTTGGTCGTCTCTAAAACCAGAAGGTCAGGGTTTCAAGCAGCCACTTGAAGAAGTTTCCTTTGGGAAGACACTGAACCCCAAATCACTCCCTCTGCTGCCTCAGTGGCGATGCGAATATGTAATGGGATTAGTTAATACTAATGAGCAGTTTACATACACACTGACATCAGTGTGAATGTGGTGTGAGTGGGTAAATGTGACCTTCACTGTAAAAAGTGCTTTGAGTAGTCAGAAGACAAGAAAAGCACTAAGCTCAAGTCTGTTTACCATCCAACTTAAGACATGAACTAATATGTAACACAATAGAACAATGGTATTAGCGAGTAAATTTACTTTAAAGTGAATGAAAGTTGTATAGCTGCTGTATTTACGATGACTCTAGTTCTCAGATGCTGCGCTAAAACAATTAACTAGCTCCTATAGAGGAGATCTTTCATCTTGTAAACCACTTATTCCCAACAGTTCATTGGGCTTTCTGAACACAGAAGACACACGTTGACTCTCATCACTGTCACACTCATTTTTCTCCTGCATCCAACACAGGAGTTCTCCTCAGTCTTTCTTTAACTTGGAGGAACTCTGGCACCTCTAGCTGTCGCTCTCTGTCTCTCTCCAGCTGTGGAAAAGTGAAATAAAAAAACTCAAACTTGAATCTTATGTCAAAGATGCACACAATCCAGCTGTTAATTATCTCTGATGAGCATAATCAATATTTCTCTGAACTTCCATTTAACTAGATCGTTCAAAGGGCTTTCATCTAAGCACAGCAGGGTCTGACAGATAAATGTTGTTCTCTAGAAGCCCAGACAAGCCTGCAGTGTTCAAAACGATGACTAAACTGCCCTCTGGTGGCTGACGACAGAACAGCTTGATACTCCACAAGGCCATAAGTGCCCACCAAAAACAATATTCTGTTAAAAGTATTGTTTTTTTTATATGATAAAATAATAAATAGTCTCATATATAGTGAAGGTTTTTTTGTTGGGAAAAAAATAGAGCGTGTCCAAAGCAAACCTTTTCCTGCACCTTTTGTCTTTCCAGCATTTGTTGTTGAAGCGGTGATCCGCTCCTCTGTGTCTCTTCCTGATCCCTGCTCCCCTTCATCTTTTGTTCCCATTTCCTCTTTTCTAAAGCTCTTTGGAGCTCACTCCTTCCTTTAGGCGACACTCTCCTGACAGAAACACAGAGGGATGTTATGATCTGTGACAATGAAACTGAATTGTGAGTGTTAATGACTGTCAGCAAGTCTCTCCAAACCTGTTGTGGGTCAGGCGCAGTTCTCTGTGGAGCTCGTTGTGGCTCTTGGAGGCTGTTAAAGGATTGAGTGGTTTTTGGGGTATGATGAGATCACCGCTCTCCACTTCAATCTGTAGATGAGGAGCCTGGAGCTCTGAGTGTAGGTCCTTCTGTTCAGTTTGGTGTGTCTGCATTTCTGAGACTATGCAGACACACATTCAGTTTAGATTTTCTTTCCAGCATTAGTTTTTTGTTTCAACATTCCCTTGTGATATAACTTTTTTTTTTTAACTTATCACTCACATTAGGGCTGGATAAGTTTCTGAATTATAAAATACCAAACCAGCTTAAACTGACAATGTCAAAAACTTGCTATAAACTCTGTGATTAAATGAACTCATTTGCCAGGAGAATTCTTATGGTGCTTTTCGAGAAATACAAAATCTTAACAATGCAGCGAAAAAAAATTAAGAACATTTGACACTAGTGACAACCTTAGAGAACAATGACTTACAGCAACCCATAGGCCCATACATGACAGCCTTTACTCCCTTTATTCTAGGAAGAAACATGCAATTGCTGTCACATTGTTGTTCTGCTGTGCTGCAGGTTGTAGGTGATATTAATGTTGAAAAAATGACAAATGTAATCATTTTCCCACTTCCACATTGATCAGCAACTAAAACGTCCATGGTGAAAAAAAACCAGGATAATCATCAACCCTTTCTTCAAGGTAAAACAAGTAAAACCCAACAGCTAGGCTAACATCAAACAACAGCTTACATGAGCATGTAGCCTGATTTTTGATGTATTTTAAAAGCAATGGATAGCGGAAATCTGCATGGGCTAATGTTATTGGGTTTAAATAACATATTAGCAACCCATTAGCTATAACAGCTAAAGTTAGCATCAAGCTCATAGCTAACGCAACGGTTTCATATAGTGCAATAATAATGATATCATTATTATTGTTATTTTTATTATTTTGACAACATAAAACAGTAAGAAATACTACAATGTCATGACCCAGCTCAGGAGGTCATAAAAAAGGGGAGACAACACCAGGTTTAAATTTTATAATTTAATAATGATAACAATAATAATAATAATAATAATAATTCTTTATTCAACCAAATAAGACCAAATGAAATATTCAAAAAAATCCAAATCAGTCACACACTAAAAACCTCTTTAACTAAATTTGCCCAATTAGATATTTACATTATGAGGAGTGTAATTCAGTGAAGTCAGTGGTGTGTGATGTGCATGAGTGGAGTAAGTGTAGTGCGTAGGTTTTGTGAAATGCAAACATAACAAAAGGTAACTTAGTCTAAAATGCTCAAACCTAACTGCAGTATACCTGTGGAGTGGGTTAGAGGATATATATATATATATATATAGAGAGAGAGAGAGAGAGAGAGAGAGAGAGAGAGACTGTGTGTGTGTGTGTGTGTGTGTGTGTGTGTGTGTGTGTGTGTGTGTGACACACACCTCCGAGATGTGAACAGGGCAGTGAAAACACTACCTGATGACACTACAGAGGCATCACTCTAGCAAACACTACTACAGTGTCAGGTAATCCAAGGTTTGCATATTAGCTCATATAAAATTACATTATGCTCATAATTTAGGTTGCCCAAATGCTAGTTAATACGACAAATTTCCTAGATTACATCATCAAAGTCAAACAACTTTTTCCAAGGTCTAAAATCATATTTTAGGCTGTCGTTTTTTTCCAGGGCAGACATAAAAAAATGTAACCTATAGACTTTTAAAGTAAGCTGAGACTTTTTAACTGTTTCTCCCTAGCGACCACTTTTTGTACAAGTTCTACTAACCTTATAATATTCAATACTGAAACAAAGGCTGACAGTAGCACAGTCAGATATATGGCTCACAGAGTCAGTTAACTGTCCCTAAGTTGTTAGTTGAAGAGACATCTTTCAAAAATGTGCCACCATCAGCAAACAATAGGAATGTTTGAACGTCCCTCTGGGCAATCAGTTTAATGTCAGGTAAATAGTAGGTTACTGTAATTGACTTGTATTCTGGATCACCCCTTTGACTTTTTAATGACCGTTACGATTAATAAAAAGTCTGTAGCAGTCAAACAACATTCATCTGTGCCTCATTATACAGTCATGCAATTCAAACTTGTATCTGTAACATCTTCACACTTTCATCCTGCATAACAACAACACATTTGGGGAAGAGGAATGCAGATCTTTCACTTGTGTAAAAGTATCCTACTTATACCACATAGGCCTACCTACTTGGTTTTCAAGTAAGATCTATTGGGTTTGTGCACTGTATACTGGAAGACATACGAGTGATAAGAAAAGGTGTAAGAATCAACAATATCACAAAGTTTTCTCACCAGACTTGTCTAGGTGTTTCTTTCCTCTATGTGGCAAATGTTGGAGATCTCTCTGCCAAAAAAAATTGCCAATTACAGGTAATGGGAATAAAATTCAAAGTAAAAACGTACTTATCATACACATTTAAGTTTTTGATTCAAAATAAGAGTCTGTTCCAATCAGAAGTAGAAGAAACTGTGACATTCCTTGTATTGTTAGAAATCTGGCATCAATACAATTTTATGCAAATGGCAGCGAACACAAAGCGGCATTATGATGCTCACAGATAAATGAAGCGTCTAGTTCCACGCGTTCATTGAAGCGAGTGACGAGGTGGAGGGCTGCCACCTCATTAATGACTGCATCAAACAAAACACAGTTTGATCCTCATTAAGCTTCTCATTGGCTGGAGTTTGAGCAGAATTAATAGCTGAGAAAAAGATTAAGTCCCTGTGGGCTTCACTCACTAATGAATCATGTTATTCAATCTTGTTTGATCAAAGTTTTGAATTGAATGTAGAAAAAAATCTGGACTTTTTTCTCTGCGCATGATCTACGGTTACAATGATATTTGAATGTGGAGCTGAATCCCAGATCAAAGCACGTTTAAGGCCTCGGAATATTTGTTTGGTGTTTGAATGTTGTGTCAAAGTTTTTGTAACTTTGAATCTTGTCTTTAATTCTTAGGTTGCAAACGAAGCCGCTGTAATGCAAGCCACATTTCAGATCATGTCTGACACTAAGGTAATATCAAATTGAAAATATAATCTATCCGTGCTCCATTTTATTGTTTGTTGTAGCTTTGGCATTAGTTGCAATGCACAAGAAAAAATCTAAATCACGTGTTTGCAGCAAGAAAGCAAAGTTTAAACAAGATGACAGTAAGTTGTCAGAATGAGGAAAAAGTTGAATCTAAATGAGGCATTTTAATGACAACTCTGCTGCTGGCTGCTGTTTGTCTGATGAGGGGGGAGTCATGCTGTTTGGCTAAATCTCTGAAAGTGGATATGTGTGGAGAAGAATTAATAGGACGTGACGGGATAAACACTCTCTCAGGCCCACTCTCCAGGGCTGGAAAGGCTTTTTTTTTTTTACTGTTTAAAGTCGTGTTTGGTTTAAGCGCCTTCTGTCTTCAGGAAATAAAAGGTAGAATACAACAATAACAGACAAAACTAGTTCTGTAAAACAAATGATTGTTAAAAACACACAATGAATACAAATGTATGATGTAACACATCAGGCAAGGCCAGAGCATACAGTACAGTAACACTGACTATATATTTTTTTATTCTTTAATCAAACAAACAAGGCATGCCAAGAAAGTATTTTTGCCACATGGATGCTCCTGCCAGATTATGTTAATGTGACAGTAAAGATCCTTGGTTTATGTCTCACAGAAAAAAAGGCAAAAGTTCAGAAGAAAAAATCAACAAACTTACCTTCTTGCCATGGGTGACTCCCATATCGACTGTCAGAGGGTTCAGACACCTCCTGGGCGCACAGTGGACAGAGTTTCAATAATAATTTGAGGTCACTCCCTCTCTCTCTTCTCCTGCAGCATACTGTAGGATGCCAGAAACATCTCTGTGTTTGGACCAATGCTGATGCTGCCAGGGTGAAGCAGTGAAGTGGAAGACAAACCCTGGGGCTGGAAAGTGCTGGCTATTTACCAGCCAAGTAGTCCTTTTTTCTGATGTCCTTACTGTCTTTTATTGCTTTTATTTCACTTCTTATTTAACTTTTATACATTTGTTTCTTATTTTGTTTTTATTTCCTGTAATGTGATGTTGTCTTCTTAACGATGTTGCCTTCTCAGAGTCTTATAATCTTATTAAATCTTGCTTTATCCTATTTTTGACTTCTTTAATTGCATTGCTTTTACGTAAAATACCTGTCAAGACCTGTTGTTTATATTTTAATACTTAATTTGCATTTATTGTTGTTGATCTTTGGTATTTTGTAGACTGCTCTATGTTTTGCCTGACTATGGATGCTCATTGTTAAATAAGTCACTGCCTTCGCTTTGTTTGTCAAAGCACTTTAAGAACAACTTCTTTTTTTTTAAGGTGCTGCATAAAACAAGTTATAATTATCATTTTAATAATGAACTTTTACTACTACTACTTTTCTGGACTAGATCTTATGAATGGTACTTCATATATCTACTTTAAAACTTCAAAATGTAAATATTGCAATTTTTACATGATTACATTTATCTATGAGCTGTAGTTCTTCAACAGCGTCTTTAAGATTGGGTTATAATATATCATTGATATGGTAACTTCAGCATATTGCCAAGAAATATAGAAATGTTTCAAAACCTTTCTGATGTGTAAGAAAAGGTAAGAAGTCTCTAAAAAAATAAAGTCAAATTTCCCCTCTGAAGTTCACACAGTGTGGTTTCATTTCAACAACTCCTGGAGTCCCTGTAAAAGTACTGATAAGAAAGAGCCTCCACAGAACGTTAGGAACAAACTTGGACTTATGAGATAAAACAGGGCGTTGTAGGTCAAACAAACTTCACGCATCTGATTTTTATTGACACTTAAATGATAGATGGTTCTCCATCTCCAAGTGCCAGTACAAATATTGTTTATGGAGAGGGACAAAACTGTCAGCATAACAAGTCTAAACCAGTATTTAGATATTTGAAGCTTATCATGTTTGCTTTGTCCATTAGATGGGTCAAATATTCCTCCATTTACTCTATTTTTTTTATTTTCTAATATTATTAAAAACACAAGTCAAAAGCTTAGTCAGTTTTTTAATAAGGCCCAGACACACAAATGACAAACTTGCATCAGGTGACTTTACAATCAGTACGAAATGTACACTTAGACTCATTACACATTAAAACTACAATCTGATTTGACAAAATGTGAGTTGAGTTGAGTTTGTTATCAATGGTTAATGGTGGAAAGTTGTCAAGTTAGCCCTTTAACATACCCAATCACACACACACACACACACACACACACACACACACACACACACACACACACACACACACACACACACACACACACACACATAACCAGCCAGAACGTTTTCAGGGTTTAGCTTGACCCATTAAAGACAGTTGTTTTCTTTATTAACTAGTTCGTAGTTTTCATTAGTAAGCAGGCAATGCCCATGACAGATATGATTCGATCAATAACCCTAGTTTAATGGGGAACGTAATATGTCAAATCAAAGGATTACTGAATCTATTTCTAAGCTAACTCTAGCCTTGAGTTAGCTTACAGGAAACTGGAGAATAGCAAGGCGCATGTAGAATCATCACATGCTCTGATTTTATTTTATTTTTTCAGAAAAGTATGTTTAGTGCTTTACATAGAAATCAGTAAATAAAAACCCAGAAAGCTGCCAACGTCTCATTTAAAAATGAATTGGGAACAATTTGTTCGCACATTGGTAAAACAAAGCAACTATATCCGAACTGCTTTGCTGGTTGTAAACAGAGCTGTGTATACGAGAGAGTTTGTTTGGGGGGTATTGTTTTTCTAGACGTGAAGTAAACTGCCATCAAATTTTCCCTTTTGTCTCAGGAGCATTTATATTGTCTTCATCAATCGCTGGGAAGCAGCCGCCCAGCTCGGCCACCCGTGGCCATTCACCATAAATGTTAGTTTTTGGATCGCTAACAACCAGCTGTTAAAGGAACAGAAAATAATACATTCGTTTGAACATTAATTATCATGCTTATTTATTTGTACTCCAGGTGCCGTTTAAAATAGATGTCAAGTGCAGTTACAGACACACTTACTTTCTCAAAGAGGCTTTTTTCTTTCATCCCCACCTTTCCAGCAAACACCCAACTGTCATGGGAGTTTAGAGTTTTGATCATAGAGCTTCCCATCCCCTCAAATATTTCTCTCATTTCGTCCGTCATTCTGCCACAAAGGAGAAGAAAAGTCCCATTATGTAGCCTAACATTGCTTTTGCATGTGAATCATTGGGATTTACACTAACCTTTGAGTCACATCTACGTAAGAGGCCGCCAAAATGATACTTCCAGGTTTTATTTCCCTCAGGTAACTCAATATTTGATCTTTGTCTTTTTTTAAAGTTAGAAATAAACAGCAACATCAATTAAGAATTCAGTACAGCACTAATGAAATTGAAAACAGGATGAAAGTATTTATAAAAACTCTTACCTCCAGATTCCATATTAAGAAAGTAAAATTTTTCCACAGCTCCTCTTTCCCCTAAAATTGGTAAAAAGCATTTTATTTACAGCAGACCGAAAAAGAACATGAAGTTCATGTAATGTGATTGATTTAATGACACTAAGGCAAAATAAAATGTATCACAAGCTGGAAGAGCAATGATAAACTTTTATGACATTTTGAAGTTACATTTCTTTCTGTATGTGTTTCATAGTCCAGTAAACATCTTGCAGCAATACAATAAACTTCGTAGTTCTGAGGTTGTCACTCACCATTTATCTCCACAATGTTGATTCCAGGGCCAACATTATTCAACACATTACTCATAATGCTGTTGAGATACCAAAAAGGTTAGGTGGGCTTTTTTTTTTTTAATTTTAAAGGGCAGTTTTGTTTTTTGAAGTGGGGTTGTACGAGATACTTACCACAAGTAAGTGCACCTACAGTAGTCAGCAGTAAGGTTGGACAAGCCGGCTTGAGATTAGACGGAAGATGTTCCATGTACGAGGTGCAAGTACTTGACTTACTTACTTCGTAAGCATATTTGGATTTTGAATGGTCGAAAAAAAAAAAATACAAGCAAGCACCAACTGGGATATCTTCAAAAAAGTGAAGTTTGATTTTAGTCTGCATTTTGAACCAATTTGCTTTCATTATATGCCAATGATGAGGAATACAAATGTGTTGTAGGGTCTCGAAAGAAATAGTGCAGAAGGAAAGGGCTGTCTAATATTAAAGTAAAGTAGTGAAAATATCCCAAAAAATAGCTTACACTTAAACTGAACATGCTTCTTGATATCCCATCTGCAGCAGTATATAGCTTCAGTGTTGGGCTGTCATCTACTATAAATAGCACTTACTTCTGCAAAGTACCTCATACAACCCAATTTGACAAAAGGCAGTACTGTCATATTGAACACGTACATTTTACCATTAAAGCAGATCTTTGGCCCGACAACCTTCGCTGCTCCACTCCAGATATGGAAAGGAAAAGACTCAGGGGGACAAACTTGCGATAGGCTGCACTTTTTTGCCGCTGAAATATAGATGGTATGGTGCTTTAAGTTGTGCTCACACAGAGTAATGTCAGATTATGAGTCTTCACAGATTTAAACTTACCCTCTATTGATTCTGCTTTGTTTGGATTACTGTCATAAAACCCTATCATAAAATAATGCACAAAAGTATCATTATTATGTAAATGAAATGAAATAGCTCAGGATTTGAAGATAATAATACACAGAATAGGACTCACCAAGAGATAGCAGTGCATCACTCTGTAGATCAAATGTAATGCTTACACCCCATACGAATAAGAGGACGGCAGCAACAACAGCAACAAGTTGAAAAACTGCGCACACTGTAAAGTACAGACACATGAAGATCTGCAAATCCCAACCAAATACTTGTTTTTTTTTCTGATGAAGCAAAATCTTACCTTGGTATCTCATATCTGCTGTAGATCAGAGGACTTTTTGTTACAGTAGGTCTTTGAAATTTACTTCCACTATTTTCCTGTCAACAAGATATTGTAGATCCAGCCGAGCTTCTGTGTCAAATCATCTGTGAACACGCTCCCTGATAATTCCTTCAACCCTGCCTTGTGGGAGCAGATGTTTGGATATGCAAAGAAAACTTGTCGGCCCTCATCCTCCTCCTTGTGAAACCAGGATGTGGCATCATCATTAAACACAGACACACAGTGAACTAGATGATCAAGTTTCTCTCTCTCACCATGTCAAATATGTGACGTGTCCACAAGTAATTGATACTGTTTGACATGAACAATGCAGTTTTCAAGCCACGCATTGTGCTTAATTGGTGTGCAAACATACATTTGAAACCTGTGGACAGAGCAAAATACAAAGAGGAAAAAAAGAAGGTCACAAGCTTCATATTTCAAACTGAAGAATCCTCTGCCGGTTGTTGAGTTTGCATCTTGGGTACTCTGGGAACTCCCACAGTCTTTAGGTGAATTGGGTCATTGTAAATTGCCCCTCAGTGTGAGTGTGAATGGTTGTTTGTATCTACGTGTTTGTCTCCTGTGATTGACTGGCAACCTGTCCAGGCTGTACCCTGCCTCTCACCCAATGACAGCTGGAATCAGCTCCAGCTCTCCACGCAAGAAAAAAAATTGATTCATTGATGCATAATCCATAGAAAAAAGGCATACATTCTAAATTAGATTTTATTTTTAAACAACCCAAACCCAACAGAATCAAGTGGTGATGAATTAAGAAAAGCGATTTGTATTAATTTTACCTGTAGAGCAAGTTTATTTCTAGTAGTTATAACGATAGCGAGGCACAAGCCAATGAACAGGAAATAGTCATTACTGATGTTTAAATAGTGAATGGCAAAGTAATCCCTCTTAAAAGCAGAGTTAAGCCCTCATGTCAGAAAGCATCAGCCCCTACTGATCCTTGAACAGTTGCTGAGCTCCAGCTTTCACCTACCTGTCCAAACAAAAATAGCATTTCCCTGCAGGCAGTAATGAGTTATGACTGCTATTAAAGTCACTGAGGCCAGATCATAATAAGGTCGTAATTTATCCATCAAGAAACAGCTGAGTAGCAGACAGTGAGGAATATGTGTGGAGAAACAGACCACACATTTACAGAGGGGGGGGGACAATTTACAGGAAAACAAGCAAAAACCACCCTAAATAATTGTCTTGCTGCCATGAGCCTCCGAAGAACCTTCAGTGCTGTTTGATTAAAAGTGCTCTGAACTCCACTCATGGCATGAAAGACATTCTTCTTAAAGATGTTCCCTCATTTGGTGTTTTGATGACGGTGCTGGAGAACGCTGAAGAAGTGGCTCCATTATTTCTGTAGGTGAGCAGCAGGGTTTTGATCTAGTGACTGCACAGGCCAGAGTGTATGTGTTTCATCTTCAATCTCAAAAGACCATGCAGTGTCCTGATTGGAAGTGGAACTGGATCATTTTTTTTTTTTTCTGCAGTTATTCTGGACTGTCTTTTGTCGTCCATATTAAGTTTATCACATGAAGTCGAAATAATGCAACCTGGAATCAGGATATGCATCACATGAGCAGAAAATAACGAATGAAAGGGGGTCAAGATGATAACTCTCACATCTCTAAAATTAAAATTTCCACTAACTAATTATCATAAGAATAGGTAGTGCCATAAGTAAGAGTTTTGACTCTAATGAACAACCCTTGTTCAGAGACGTGTGCAGTAATGGAAAGGCTGACACTGACTTTTTGCATTTCATTAACACACACTGGACTGTATTTTCTGTTTACACTGCACACTGTGAAGACATTTACAATATTTTCTCTGTACATAATACACATACCTTCATAACTGCACAGCTCCTCCATTGCACCTTTTGTAGTCTTTAATTAAATATATAATTGCTTCTTATATATATATTTTTTATCGTATTCTGTTGAAGGTGTCAGCAGGCTCACTGCTGTTTTTATAGCTTCTTACTATTTTTGCTGTAGTCCTTTGCTGTGTAATACTAAAGACAACCAGCAGAGGGTCTATGTGCACTGCTCTTGACTGAACAGAGAACATTATGCACTTAAGAGAAACAAAGAGCATTTGTAAAACAGATGTACTTCTATTTAGATGTCATTGTTCACTTGTTTTCGGCTTTAAAATGTGAGATAAATTCCTGAGTTTTTCATGCAACACAGTCTTAAAAAGGGGAAACAATATTTTATTTCCAATCACGCAGTAATGCTTATTATTTAAGAGTAAAAAGAGGGTTAATAGTGCACATCATGAGTTTGACAGGCTGCACTTATGTAGCGCCTTCTTAGTCAAAGCGTTTTTACACCACATGTCACATTCAACCTTGCCCATGGAACTCTGACATGCAGGCTGCAGGTGGGAATCAAACCTTTCGCTTCAGAGAGACCTGAACCATTGAGCCACAGCTGTATCAGAACTAACCGATGTAAAACAAATGAGGTCAATCACAGCCATTTCAAACAAAGGATGGGTATTTTTAATAACAAATATACATATTCTTCAACAAGGCACATGAGGAAACGGTAATAATACAGAATGTATCATTAAAATAATTCATATCATCAGTAACTATTCAGCCAATGCAATCATTAGATGTTTGCAAAACTTGCAATAATACTTGAACTTAAAAAAAAAGGTTGATTGATTGCTTAAAGCTCCTGTGAGGTGGGACGCCAGATAGCCTAGCGGTTATGTTGCACATCCCGTGTACAGAGGCTGTGTGATATGTAAGATGTGGGTTTGAATCTTGCCTCAGCATTTTGCTGCATGTAATTCCCCACTCTGTCACTCTTCAGCTGTCCTATCCAATAAAGGCTCAAATCAGCTCAAAATATAACTTAAAAAAACCCCAAAAACTCTTGTGAGAAACTTTTGTTGATTTCCACACTCCCTGTGCACAAAGTGATGAGCCTTGGTGGATCTTGGTCTGTACATGTAGAAATATTTTTCTTTTAACAAAATGTCATCCTGCTTCATTTGAACAGTCAAATGTATCACTCACTGTGAATATTCCCCATGGAAAATCTTTACAAAAACTGTTTTGGAAGTGTTCTGTTCATCTCTTTGTCTGACAGCTACCCTGCTAAAGCACTAATATACATTAGAAATTACTTTAAAGAAAGAATCACTCTTGTTGCTGATGATTTCGTTTGCTTTTGTCAGTCAAAAAGAACCATCAGTATTCATTTCAGTTCATTTCATAACCGGAAACAAAACAAAAACTCCTCACAGGGGCTATAATTTGCTGATAGAAAGGGGAATCAGAAATCAGCCGAAGTCACCATCAAGCTAAAAGAGTGATGTTTACTGAATAACTTTCACTCACATGTGGGGAGTTGCTGCTCTTTTCCTTTGTGGCAGATGTAGGATTCAAAAGACATCCTCCAATATCACTCAAGCCTAGAAGTCCATTAAAGAGCGAGTGGACTCTTCTGCAAATTTGCTTTAAGTGGGTTAATATTAGCATGAAAAGGGAAAATATATTTCAAAGGGAGCTGGCCAGCTGGTAGATAGCTGCAGTCTTAGCGTGACTATTTTTAGCTGCACATCTATTACAGTGTTTGAAACGTCTGAAATGTCAAATCTCCATGTGATGCTTTGTAGCCAACCACTTATTTCATGACTGCAGGATAATGATAGTGAGCTCTCTGACGTGTACACACCGAGACATTTGAGGTGCACAGTTTCTGTAATGCAACAATATAAATACTCTGCTGCTTCAGCATTAGCACCTGATACTTCTTTATTTGCAGTTTTTTTTTTCTGCCCTTCTTTAAATCAGAAATTACGATTCCTAAATTAGATTGTTGACATTTTGTCACGCTGCGGTTCAACATGTTTTTCCGTGTTTTCAATTGACTTAAGCATTGTAATAGAACAGGAAAATAAATTGATACACATGACGGATGAGCAGTGTTGATTCTCAGTGGGATCAGCAGCACTTTGAACATGACCAGAAGTCAAACAAGAAATACTCTTTATAGTCAAAGCAAACTGACTGAATGAACTGTGTTAGGGAACATAGAATGAATTGCTGTAATTACTAACTACACTAATTACCTCCCAAGAAATACAAAATATTTGCCCTTTATGTAGAAAAAAATATTGTTTGTAATTATTCCCTTAAAAAAACTTGAACTCTTCTATTATTGAAAAAAATAATTTATGTTTAGTTGTAGCATCATTTGAAGAGTTTACTGACTGAAAAAAAGAGAGAGTTCACTCTAACCCTTAGCCCTGAGTAGTGCCTGCAGAAACAACTTCCAAATATCAAAGTGTTCAGGGAGAAACATGCATGTAGCCTGAGAAGAGAAACCCCAGGTAATGACTGCACTTCAACATCTTCATCAATTCCTCTTTTCTCACATCTGACATTTTAACAGCTCCGCGGGGAAATAACTATTTTTGAAGGAAGATTTTTTTTTTTCGTGAGAAACTTAACAGAAAACAGAAGTATCTGGATCAGGATTACATCAGGGTTTCATTGTCAGACTCAAGAAGCTCCTTCATAACCACAGAAGAAATTACAAATCCGGTGGCGCAGGCTGTGTTGAGACCTCGATGTGTAAGTGTTGCTTAAAGTTGAAAGGATCGGGTTAAACCACAAGTGTTGGTTATAAAAACTGATTAGGCTCAAAACTTCAGAGTTAACATTGAAAAAAAACAAACACTAAAGGAAATAAATCACACTCCAGCTGTAAGACGCTGATTAATCAGTAAGTCAATGGATAGAAAATAAATCAGTTAAAGCAACAATATGTAACTTTTCTACCTTAAAATAGTCGTTTCAAAGTTGATCTAATAAACAACTTTCAACAGGGAGAGGAGCATCTCTCCCATGTCCGCAGATCGCCCTGTTCGCCTGCTTACAGCACCATGCTCATCTCTCACAAGAAGTGCGTACGGCTTTGCAGCATTAGCCCGTCTCAATACTGTTTGATACAACAAGGCTGAGGCTAAGGGACAGAAGAGGATGAAGCTAAGAAGAGCAAAAGGAGATAGAGACCCAGCAAGAGGCTGAGTGTGCATCCCTGCAGATATTATTTAACACATATTGCAACTTAACAAGGCTGTACTGTTATCGGTGTCATCGTTTAGCAGCTGAAGAGGCAGAAAGTCATCTAAACCCGAGTAATGTCTCAGGCTTGAATACAAATAAATTAATATATCCATCTTACACCAAAGTTGTCGCTACAGCGAGCTTTAGATGCTAGCAGAGTCATATTAAAGCAGAATCTGGTAATATCTCTGTACCTTTTAAGTCGGCATGGTTCTTTGTTTTCTAACAACACCACCCCTCTGCTTGTCTGTGATAGGGAGCCAGAACAGCACTGTGTGTTTTTCCCGGACAGTGCAGTTACACTAACAGCGTCACAAAAGATGAGGCTGTGCCGTGATGTGTAACCTTTTAAATGTTTCATACAGTGTGGACCAGAGAATGCATCAATTATTCAAAATAATATTAAGAGTTATCCAGTATGGAAATAATCATTACTTGCAGCCCTAAACTTCATCCATCTGATCCTTTTCAGTTGTTCCAGCAGCATCTCCTCTGAGATTTATTCCAGCAGATCCTTTCACAAGAGCAAAACAGGAAGTTACAAATTACAAATGTGATCTGATGAGGAAGGTTACAGCTGTGTTGACTTGTCCTTGGGGACAAATGACAGTGAGAGCTTACAATCAAAGAAGCCGTGATGCACTGACCTCGTCTGAGTCCTCTCCCACTGTGTCGGGCCCCCTGTCACCCTCTGTCACCGCTGAACCCTGCTCCTCCTGTCGCATCAGCACCGAATATCTGTACGTCGCCTCACTGAAACAAAGAGAAGTGGCAGACAGGGTAGTGGGCAGCGGTTTTTCCTTCACTGACAATCTTAAATAAACTCATTAATAATGTTCGCTCACTTGACTGGGAAGCAGTATTTTCGGATGATCAATACAGCAGCAACGATCGCTGCCACACAGACGAATATCACGGGTGCAATAATCCCAGAGTGAAGCCTTAACCCGGCCTAAAAAGACAAATGAATCCAATAAGATCAAACAGTGGGGTACTTAAAGAGCCCATAAAGCTAACGGCTCAGTTCATGATGTGTGGCTCAGATAAAAACGAAATACGGGGCAGCCGATATGACAGCTGAACAGCGGTGTGTTATGGATCATGTTGGCTGTACAACTCCAAACGCTGAACAGCAGGGGTGTGAATCACAGGCTAAAGCAAGAAAAACTGACGTATTTTTTGACAAAGACTGATCACAAGACTGTATCTTTAAAGTCAGAGCTGCGCATAAGATCACAGGTAATGTTAGGCAGAGAGTGTTTGAAGTGATAATAAGGGCTCACATGGAGGGAGGTCAAAAAAAAAAAAAAAAACATCCAACAGGGACAATTCATCACACTGGTGTGGAGGTGTCAGATATGAAAAAAAAAAAAAAAACATGACAATGATGAGATATGACTGTGGTGGCAAAGACGTTATCACCATACATGGAGCAATTTACATTTGGCTGTCTTAGTTGAAAATGTAAAAGATCATTGTCCAATTAAAAAAAAACAAAAAAACACTAAAAATCTTTCCAAATTGGTCTAGAAATCAGGGCAAAAATGGTCATACCAGTTTTGTTAAATATTGCATGCATGCAGATGGGGAGCCTAGTGTTTGGTGCGCACACCCTGTGTACAAAGGCTAAAGTCCTGCAAGCGGGCGACACAGGTTCAAATCCGACCCCGAGACTCCTTTTCTCGCATTTCATTCCCAACTCTCTCTATCCACTGTCCTATCTCTAAATAGAGGCATAAAAAGCCCCAAAATAAACTTCTAAAAAATCTAAGCATGCAGAAACTCCACTATAACTTTCTCGTCTGTGCTTTTACTAGATTATCTTTTGTGAGGGGATGATTTACAATGGATTCCACAGAAAACTAGTGTCTTTACATCTGTGAAATTCAAATTACAAAGTACAACACTTCATTAGTGCTGTTAGTAATTCATAAACAGTCCACTTCCTAAGTAATCTTCAAACGCGAAGTGAGTTTTGCAACGTGTTTGATTCCAGTTTGATCTGTAAAATTGTTTTGAGCAATAAAAAAAGGTGATACGCGTCTTCTAACAGGGAGTGTATTTAATGTGAAAATGTTTGAACATTTTTCCCTCTGAAGTGAAGCTTTGAAGGCAAAGTACATCAATCTTAACAATCCCACAGCATGATGTAACCCAGTGTTCATCCAGGAAGTAAATAACCAAACATATCAGCCCTTTTACTTCCAGCTGTTGTCTGTCAACTTTTCAACGGAGGAATTTAATGACGAAGAAACTTTGTTACTGCGATCATAACCACGAAGAGTTTGTTTTGTTGTGAGTTCAAAATATCTACAAAACATCAGAAATACCAGGGTTTAATGGATCGTTTTACAAGTGTATGCATAGCTTAGCCTACCTGTTGTTCTGACATGCTTGTCCAACCAGTTTAGCCTACTTCCATTATGAAACATTAACTAAGCACATCGTTTCTTATTTAACTAAAGTAAAACCCCAACTCAGTGAGGAAATGTGTACTTAGTAACAGATGTTTTCCGCCTGTAAGCTCGCTATAGGTGAAACGCCATGGTTCTTTACTTCCTTGTTTCTCTCACCTGCTGCGATCTTAATATTTACAAGCAGCCTTTTCCACGCCCACTTTCAGAAGACGTCACGTTCAGTCTTCGTTTCCTCTTCCTTAAAAAGACACTTCAAATAACAATTTGTCGATACTTTATAACAAAGAGCCTTCAGCTTGACTATCTGTCCAGAAAAGGAGCCTTTGAAATTTGATAACATTATTTTTATTGGCTTCCTTGCAACATATTTGGCATTAAAACCCACGTTTTAGAAGTCAGCCAAACAACAAGACAAGGCTTACTATCATGATCTTTTTTTAAATACGAACTGTGCAATATTAGGCTATAAGGTCTCATAGTTTCTTCATTACAGAAGCCAGCCCTCAGCGTAGATGCAGCCATATATTTTAATTCATTTTTTCCTGTGGTCGTGACTTATTCATCTCAAATCCTAAAAGTGAAACCAAAAACAAACATACAGCAGAAGTAGACTTAACTTTCCTTAATAGTGTGATCAGTGGCAGAATGGCATGTCATTGTCACAGTGACCTACCTATTGTTTTTGTTTTCTAGATCACCAGAGAATTATTCTTTCATCATGAGAAAACAAGCTATTTTATCTTGAGATATGGAAATACAATTATCCTTTATAATAGGAAATCCTGGGATAGTGAAAAAAGTGGGATAGTGGGATAGTCAGTACCTTGAGAAAAACAACCAGAAATTATTTTTTATCACCTGAATAAATCAAATGTTCAGATGCATGTCTGCTTAGGGCTTCTGAGATTCATGTACTTTTTCTCCAAAACAATTGTTGGTCTCATATAAATTTCCTCTTGTTTGTTTACATGACCTTTGTGTTAGGATTTGACTAAAAGCTCAACCTGGAATGACCCGAGCTCAGTATGCTGGCTGTGTAAACGAAATGCTTAGTGACTAATAGATATTTTTCTTGATTAAAACTGAATCAGAATGTGATAAATGAATATTAGTCTTTCCTTTCTTTTGTTTCATTTTTTTCCCCCGTGCCAGAATGAAGCAACTATCTATCTCAGGCTGAAATTGATGAATCAATCTGGCATCAGACGCTCATAAGGTGTGATCTTTTTTTTTTTTTTTTTTGGCAAGACTGATGAAAGGAGCTGTCATCCCTGTGAGCCGCTCATTCGCTGTTACTACTGGTTACAATTACAGGCCTTAAAACCTAAATGTAAAAAGTCCTGGATAGAGGTCCATATATGAAAACAGGTATAGCAACAACATATCATTTTATCTGTGGAACATTCATCATCCCAAAGCTTTCACTTTCTGTTAGTTTGTTACAAGGCCATTAAATGTGATGATGAGATCAGCTTTGTTAACACCAGAACGCTTCACTTAAAACTGCATATTAAATCTGTATACTCATTCACACACAGCGGACACACATTCACATATTTTATTACACTAATTATGATAAATAAGGAACAGAACTACCTGTACAGTAATGCCAATCTGGGATATATTTAGAAATCAGGAAACTTAGAAAGAACATCCTGGAGCTTCTTTTAACTACAGACGGCTTACATATTCATACAGCCAAGACTTCTGAAAAGACATTCTTCACCATCAGATGTGCTGCTGAATGAGCAAATCAATTTCCTGCAAAAAGCATGCATCTGATATACTGAAACCCACTCCTTTACACACGAACATGACACTACTTGGAAGTGGAAAAACAAAAGGGAACCCATAGTCCATAAGAAACAAAAAAGCTGCAACACGGAAGAGTTTTCTGTGAATGCAATATTCATCACTGATCAATACACTAGGCCCAAAGAAAGAATCCAGAAGATATTCATCTGCTATCAATGACTTCTGATTTATTCATTGGGATTCTCTTGAGCTTTGAGTCAAGCTAGTTCATAGTACTTCCCTGTCTTTGGATCGAAATAGCAGTTCAGGCAAGGATCATAGAGCAGATTCAAAAAGTCTTCCTCGCTCTCCTCTTCATTTATCAACTCATCCTTTCCTGTAAAAATGCAAGAAAAATACACTGAAATACAAAAAAAACCTACTAAAATATGCATATGTAACAGTGCAACAGTAAATCAAATCAATCCTTTCACAGATATAAAACCATACAAATGTAAAACGCATGCTGCCTTTTTCATGTACCATGTAAGGCGTATTCCAGCTGCTTCTGGAATAAAATGAGAAGTGTGGATAGAGAGGTGACCTTCAGACTCAGGTGGATTTTTAAAGTTTTCTGCCGCTGCCATTTTTTTCTCTCATCAATCAAGACTTAAGACACCCAGATCCCGGTACCACATTATGAAGCTGTAAAGAGATTCCCTGTAATCCCCACTACTTTAAAGCACGAGAATTTAGCTGTTAAATTGACAGGCAGTTAAATGCTCAAAAGGTTACGGGATGCTCCGGGAGGAACATTTTTTATCTTATCAGAACTTTAGCGACGATAATGAAAACTAATTATAAGACACATTGTGTGAGAGGTTTAAAAATGATGTTGTAAACTGCAAAGGTTTCGTCAATTAACCTTGTCGGTGTGTCTGGGGGGTACAGACCTGTAATGAGCCTGTCTCTTTTGACCTATGGAGTTATGTGGAGGACAGAGAGCTCCACTCTCCTGGGTTTTTTACCCTTAATTAGATACAGTTTCTCATGCTTTTCCATCCCATGCTGAGTGCAGTCTTTAATAGAGGGATGTAAGCTCTGACACCAGTGAAGCTTTCCTCTGGTTCTCTGCTTTTGCACAATTAGTGTGGTCCGTGTAAAAGCATTGTATTGTTTTCTGCCTGGGGAAAAGAAACACTAACATTAAGGTTACTGTACCTGTGTTTAAGTTTCCCAGATTGTTCCACGTGTCTTCTGACCTTCTCTGCTGGCCGGGAGGCATAATAGGCGGGCTGAGCACATCCATCCACTCCCTAGGGTGAAGACCATAAAGGCACACAGTCATGACAACACATGCCATTACACGCATCATCCCACTACTGTGCCCCCGCACATCAAATTGCCTCTATATGACATTTTAACAATGAAAGTACCATCATTGTGTGCTCTCTGAATAGCCCATCTGAGCTTCTGTCGTCCTTGAGCCACTTCTGCCGAAAACTCAGCCTCGCCGTTCTACCTGAAGGATCATTTATTAGATTCCGACTCAAGCTGTGACTTCCAAGTGTCCATGTTCTTGCCCCGAGTAGAGGTCTTAACCTTGTCAGCGCCTGTGAGAGCGGGACTTCCTTTCACTCTTAAATGAGTTTATCATCCCAGTCGGAGGAAAACGCACAGGCTGCAGCCATACATTGTAATTCTGCACTTGAGTCACACACGGCTCTTTAAGTATGGAGTAGCAGATTAGATGGAGAGAAATGGAGATGATGAAAATGAATTATTACTGGGATCACTGCAAGATTTATCTGATTAAGTAGAATGCTTTTTAGGCAATACATCAGTAGCATAGTTGCAATTATCCATTTACATCTTTCGCCTTCGGACATAACATCTCGTAAAAGCACAACATAGCATATTTAATGAGGAGCTCTAATCTTCTTCTGTACATTATTCAGCAGACAGCCGGCGACTTATACATTCATTAAGGCTTTATCTACCTCAGCATCAAGACATGAAATGATGGGTAATGTAAGTATCTGTGAAACAAAGTGCTTTCAGTAACCACTTTATAATGTGTTTAAAAAGCACATTCACTATCAAGATATATCTTAACATGTTCAAACTTTAACCGCTTATTTTAACACATGAACATTTTAGTTATTTTTTTTTCTGATTAACTTCACTGTTTATTAGTTAATTAGTTTTTTTTTTTTTTTTTGGGGGGGGGGGGGGGATTTTATGCCTTTAAATAGAGATAGGACAGTGGATAGAGTCAAAAACTGGGGAGAGAGAGAGAGTGGGGGATGACATGTGGGTAAGGAGCCACAGGTCAGACCCGAACCCGGGACCACCGCACATGGGTCGGCGTGGCCCAACCACTGGGCTACTAACGCCCCTATGTATTAGGTTTTTAATGTACAGTGGCCATGAAGGTCAAACTGCAAAATAATTCACTAAACGCAAAAAAATAATAATTAAACGCTACAAACCTTTCACATTTCCTTAAAGGCAAAACCCTGTTACGATTTACAACAGAATGTCATAAAATGCAGTATCATTTACTATAACAAAAAACTAATCCATGAAAAAAATCATGGGATGTTTTTGTGCTTCATATATCCATATTTCTGTCTTTTGTGAAATATTTGTGGGTTTAGTGAAATGTTTTTGCAGTTGACCTTCAGAGCCACCGCATCAATGAGATGCAATCATTTTTTTTTCTAACCATTAAAAACCATTCTAATCATTAAAAATGTAAGTACCTCTAATTTTAGTGACATGGTATCTTGAACTGTAACTGCACAAGGGAAGTCAAAATCTCAACCAATGAACAATATTGTAAATGTTTGTTTGTTTTTTAAATAGAAATAAAAAAAACTCCAATTGAATTTGAATCCTCTTGTAAGTACATGCTCGAGCTATGTGGACACAACAGATTTGATGTATCCCCGTGAACATCAAAAAAACAGTGCAAAGATTTACACTTTCAAACACTATTATTACCTTTGATTAGATCTCTCCATGTGTTTAAGAGTTAACTGTAAATATATTAATTTTGACCCTATGCCTTTGAAGTTTCTGTACATTGGCTCTGTACATTGGCTCTGATTTTTCTTTCTAACAAAAGGCATTTACCCATCTCTAACACCCCTCCGACTATGTGACAGGCAGCAGCACAGTACAAAAGTTAATGGAAGCAATTTAGGAGGACAAAGGCCTGAGCTACAGAGCTGCAAATTGGACTTGAGATAGTTAAGTGGGACTTGGTAAGAGTGATTACATTCTAGTCATTACAATGCAGATACAAACCTGTGATGAAGAGAATGAATTAGTTTGATTTAATTTGAGCCTGTACACAGTTTTGGCATAGCGTTTAAGTATATTGAAATTAAGCTTACCAATGTAACAGTATCAAGGCAACTCTGTTTGTCTGACACCCTGGCAATTTCGGTGAATTCCACAGTTGTAAAACAGTTGAATTGCTACTCCGGGTTTCTCTGACAGCCTGATTTGCGGTTTCATACTCGCATTTGCCAGCCAAAAGCAGACAAAAGTATTACACACGCAAAGGAGCATGTTAAAAAATGCACGAAAAAGCCCTGGCAACATTAAGCACAGAAACAAGAGCATTTTAGCTGTCAAGAAAACTGTAGCTCTCAACAGAGAGGAAGCCCTACAGTGATGCCAGGACTCTGAAAAAAATAGCATGACAGAATTCACTGTATGGGTGTCTGAGGAAGCAGCGCCTGGAAGAAAAGGAAAAAAACAACGACAAAACCCCGTGCAGCTGCTCTTCAATATGTAAATCAAGGCCTGCTTCAAAGTCTAATTTCAGTAGTACAGCTGTGGATTCTGTCGTGCCATGTGAGACAAGGCAGGGAGTTTGTTTGAGGTGACTGTCAATTGTAATCTTCATTTCAGAGGACCTTCAATCAAACAGCATTACCTTAGCAAGTACTTAAACCGCCCAGAGACGGAGAAAGTATGACTCCAAACAAATCAAAAACTGTCCCTTTCTACTGATCAGATGTAAGAAAAAAAACTCATTATGAGTTTAAAAACAACAAAACAAGCCAAATATTTGAATAAACCAGAGACAATATGTGTTTAACAGCAGGATACTTTGCTTTTCATCAATAAATCAGACATGTTTGAGAGGATGGTTGCGCAATTTGAGTAGCGGGGCTATGATGCAATCCCTTTGTCTTGTTTTGTAACATGCCGTGTGGTTGTGTACACCCACAATAGAGATGGAGCTGTGCAGAGACAGGGCTCTGCATTAGCGAGCAGTCGGGCGTTAAAGGGGCTCCAGAAACCTCTGAGGGGAACTACATGTTCTGTCACACACTGCCATGGTCGGGTTCTTGAGATGGGTAGAGAGCGCTTATAAGTCATGTTCAGATACTGCACTGATGTCAGTCAGCGAGAATGAATTTAAAACTACAACATCTTCCCATTGTTAATGTTTGAGCAAGAAACTTAACAAAAACCTGATCTGACTTTAACGTTGATAAAATTACACTGTGGGCTACATCATTTCTGTTCATTTGCAAAGTTTCTTCTTTTTGTTGTCAAACTGCATCAACTTTCTGTCGGTTTCTAATCCAGTCCATTTGTTGGTTTTCTGAAGTTGATATTGGATACACTTCTCCACATATTTGTAATAGCAGTTGTACATTTCTCTCTCTCCTCCGGTAATATCAGCCTATACGTCAATGTGTTTACTTTCTGAGCTCAGAACTTTAACTTGACTGTGGTTTTAACCTGTAGGCAGGTGAAACAAGGTGAAACATGTCTTGTGGATGCTCTGCATTTCCAACCACTGAAGCTCAGACCGTGCTCAAGTCGGCCCCTCGCTTCATCAATGATGGATTTCACCTTATTTTGCTGCTGAAAGTCAAGGATAAATGGTGAGTCTCACACATGCTTTGGATTTAAAGACTTGGAATGAAAAATGTAGTAGCGTCGTTAATTATCTCATATATAAAATAAGTCGTTAAAAAGTTTGTCTTACAAGCACAATAATATGTGAAAAACAATCCATACATGTGAAAATGACAGCAGTTAAGGGAGAAGAAAGCTACAGTACCTGGCAGAATCTCAATTTATTTTTACTCATCAGTGAGTGAGATAAGCCCGCCGTCTGCATATCTTTCTGACAGTTGACATTTAGCCTTAATTCCACAGTCACTCGTTACCATCTGATTAAGAATTTGAGGGTGACTTTCATGTACAAGCAGCTAAATTTATATACAGGCTACATGAGGACATTTTTGTAAGAAAATACATTAGCATGACTTTCAGTTTTCTCGGAAATGACCAAGGCCAAAAAAGTTCCTTTTTTTGGAGACAGCATGTCAACAACTGTACTCATATCCCGGTGACTGAAGCCTGGGAATGTGAAGCCTCTGCAAGCTCATGTTTTATTTGGTCTGGAGATGTAAGCCTGGTCTCTCTTTCTTTGAGACTAACTTACATGTGGCTTGATTTAGATCAGGGTAACCACTCACAAACTTTTATTAAATGTGGGGCGTGTGTATCATAAAAGTGCACTTGGGTGCAACCAAGATGGATGCTGCAAACGTGGTATGTTCAAAATCTGCAATGGTGTCAGTATAAAAAACTTGATGGGAGTTTATGTTGAGCACATGAATTGAGTCTTGGCTATTAAATCATATCACCCCTTGTCTTGTTATCATGTTTACCTAGTAACTAAATGAATTAGAAGATTGGACTAGCTACAACAAGTAACCTAGCAGTTGACCAAGTGGTTGGTTGGTTGGAAGCATTTTTTGTTGTCACACTTTGAAAATACTAAAAATAACTAGAAAGTTGAAGACCAGTTCACATTTGTGAATTTTTCTGAATTTCACCTTTATGCACAATACACAGAATGAAAAAAGGAAACATACAAAATGTGTGACATTCAACTGTTTCATGACGTGTATAAAAAATGAACACATTTGCTGGAAATGTCAGTGACGAGTGCTTGCTTACCTGGGGTTTGATTGCAAGAGGGGGTTCATTTCCTTCTGATAATGGTGACCCTGATTAGCTGGCTATGAGGAAAAAGAAAGACATGTTAAAAAATATTGTCCACATATTTAAAACCAAGTACTTGTTCCGAACAAAATAATAAATATCCAATCAACTTTAACAGACCCCAAAGTGACATATTAGGGCATTGAGAGAATATAATGTACCTTCACAGAACCTCAGGATTGTAAGTGTTTCTTAGATTAAATATGACCTATTTCATTCAATATAGTAACAAAGGCCATTGTGTCCATCAACAGACTGGTTTAAGCTCGCTTGACAAATGATGGTTGTCTCTCAGCAGAAATTGCGTATTTCTTGACAGATAAACTCTCACAGGTCCTTTTTTCCACTGTTGTGTGCATGACAACTTTCATAATGTCAAGAACAATTGTTGATGGGTCGTCAGATTGTACAAGCATTGGAATACAAGTTGCATCTTTGGACAGCGAGACATATGAATATGTACATAATATCTTTTCCTGTGTGAATTCATCAACTAAGTCAACTAAAACATCATACAATTAAATAATTGATGTCTTGAAGAGTTGCTCTGGTTTAAATGCAGTGTGAGGGGCAACATTTATATTGCCGATAAACTACCCAGAACATCAACTCAGTTGCCAAATATCACATGCAAAACTACAATGCAAATCTGGAGGAATAAAAAATCTGGAGCTCTACTGATAGAGAACATTTACACAGAAACGTAAGCACAACAACAAATAGTGCTTAAAGTTTCCACATTTCATGGTAATGCTAGTAAAGTTCAGGACACGGAGATCACTGGCACACAAAAAAACATGAGTAAAACACACAAAGGAAAAATGGAGAACACGGTAAGATGCAGAAATCATGGGCGAACAATTAAGGGTGAACATAAGATAAATGGAACTGTAAAATCTATCAATCAAGCAGAAAAGTAAATATACTTTAGTGACCTATGGTTAGAGTACAAGTAAGTTTAGGGTTCTAAAATACTGGAGCTAAGTTTGATTTGTTATCTGGCCTTTCAAAACACATGAACTAAACAGCTAAACTTGTCAAGGGAAGTGAGTATGAGATACTTTTAACTGAGCTGGAAAATTAGAACAGTTTCACTTTCAATGTGTATTAATATTCAGCAGTAAGAAACACATAAGTATGTTACCCTCTCCATCTTGTCAAAGCTAAAGACCACATTACAGCCTCAGGAGGCTGTTTAAGTCTAGTGCCTGCTTAAAGGCTATTACATTGCATGACACTGATGAAGAAGAAGACATGTGGAAAGCTTAGTCCTTTCATTACCTAAGTACATTTTGTGCACCAGTATCATCTCTAAAATAAGAAAGGGCCCTATGATAATTCCCAGTGGGATTCTAAAGGTGATATGGACTGATGATGATGAGTTTCTTGTGGGGTCAGAGTTGAAATGGTTTTGTGCTTTATCCGTTATATTAAACCCAGTGCCTCGAATGGTCCTTTAAACCTACAGGAACTACATAATCGAAGACAGTTCAAAGGTGTGAATAAAGTGCATATACATCACCAAGAATTAATGACATATTTAGAGCAGAAAACACCTCTTTATTAAACATCTTAGTAATGGTTAAGGGTGTGAATATAGCTGTACACGCTGCTTGTAAGTGAAGTAAGTGTAAGCTTGTAAGTGTCTACACATCAGGTATGGACAGGCCATGGTCCTTAATCCAGTTTCTGGCTGGCTCTTTAATCTGGTATCTCTCTTATGTAACTACTTTCCTTGCATGATGCTTAACCATTTATCTACTCTGGCAATCATGCTGCATGTCAACACCTGATTACCATCTTGTTATGTCACTACCAAGATCAGAAAACCTCAAAGAGCTGTAAATGTTTTGGATCAACGTCAGTGTAGATTCTATCATTTCTGGCCCTGAGCCTGGTTTGGATCAACATTAGTGAAGACTCCATCATTTCTGTCCCTGAGCTTCCTCCAACTAACTTGTTATGAAGACAAAAACCCTTTAGTTCAAATCATTCGGCTGCAACACTTAGTGTACAGCAGTTCTGGGCTACATAGACCTGTTTGGCAATGATGTTCAACAAAACAGTACTACAGCCAAATTTTTACTTTTTAACATCCTCCTCACCGCCTTATTTATCAACGCAGTTCCTAGGTGATGGCTGCTTGATCAGCTGCACACCAGCAGATTTTCCTGCTTTTCCTTTGTATACTCTTTTTATTGCTTAGATTGCTTAGACTTAGATTGTTCAGAATTAACAAGGAGTGAATTGCTCTATGTTTAGAAACATTATACTTTCCAGATACTCTCCTTTAAGACTTTAAATTTGTTGTTCTAAATGTATATGTGGGGGACATAGTCACACCAAATTCCTAATCTAATGGTAAATCAACTTGAAGAAATCCTTTGAAGGGCGTGTTCCAACTTCATACTTTTCCAACCAACAAACTGAGTAGAATAGAAAAGAATTGAAAAAAAAAAAAAGTGGTTTCTGAACTAAACTTGTTCTTGCCATGAGAAGCAGAAATACATAATTATCTATTGTAAGAGCATTAAGCATAACCACTTACTGGCAGAATTTCAAACAGCAGGAGAAAGGTCTTGCTATCTTAGTATGAAAACCCAAATCTAATAATTATTCACTACCTTTTATAAAAATATTTGTTTTTTTCGGAAAATTCATGAGATTGGATTAAGCCTTTCACACAGCATCAGAAATCAGAAATAAACCTAAAAAAACCCCTCTTAAAAACATTAATAGCATTTCATCCCACCATAAAATATATTTGATAGCCATCTTTTCCGTCAAAACTATTCAACATCTGCATAGGAAAAAACATGTACAGTATTAAACCTAGAACCAAATATTTGGCTGTCTGAGATTTAGATTCACACAATAATAAAATCTGCAAAGTGATGCATAGGTGGTGGTGCTCAACATAATAACTGAAGCATAGCACACAGTTGTCTTGGGATTGAAGTTACATCTGAGCTAATAAGGCAGCTGCAGCAGCAGACAGAAGCAGCAGCATGGAAGGCAACGGCAGGGCCACGTGCATCACAGCATCCAGGGAGAAAGAAAGGTTTTTTTCAGTTCTAGTGGAGGAGTACCAAACCCAGACAGTGACTACTTCTAGATCTCAATTCCTCTTCTTTAATCTTTCACATACACTCATTGGTGCCTTTTTTAATAAAAGATATAGATGCTAAAATTGGAACGTTATGGCCTGGTTTGTGGTTACTTTCTCTATCTCTCGTTTTCTTGCTTCATTTGCAAACGTGTCTTAATATGCTGATGGTGGTGCTGTTGCCATATGTATTTAGAATTGTAAAGCACTGCATGCGAATCTCAAAACATCACTTCAGGGTTAGATCAAGTCAGATGGAAATTTTATCCAATCCCAGTGGAAAACTCTACCTATCACAAGGTCTAAAGCTACATGTTTTTATGAGTGGCCGCATCACTGTGTCCTCAAAAAAGGTACCATGCAATGATAATCCCTGTGGTAATACCTCTATTCATTGTATTCTGCTGGAATCTCAGTATAATATCGTCTCCCTGTATATACAGAAATGCAATCAGAACTATAACTGGACCATCTGTAATGACTGCCTTCACAGGGCACCCAACAGAGGACCCACTGGGAGTAGGAAGAGCACAGTTCCTTAAGTGTGACGCGCTTATGCTAATGGACCAAAGATCTAAGTGACCTTCAATAGCCAAGAGCAAACTTTACCATCTTTGAATTCTTAAAAGACTTATTGGGATAATTTCAAATGCCCTAAATCATTTTTCAGTCACTGGGGGGAAGTCACTGGAGATATTATGACAGTTTACTTTTAGAGCTTTAAGAGGCCAATTAATCTGTTTCTATCTCCATAATTTTCTGTAATTCAGAAAACATGCAGGAGAAAGAGGTGCATTAGCACTTTATGGTGGCATACGTTGGGGGCTTGAAATGGAAATTTCGCAAGCACGAGGATCAGCCAGGGTCAAAAAAATTATTCAAGATGGGAGATCGAAAGAGGGAGAACCTGCTAATGATTGTAAATAGTGGACGAGCTGCACATGAGTGTTGCTTTTTAGTGAAGAATAAAAGATCAAGAGGGGCAGAGTGTGATAGTGCAGACCGTGGAGATGTGGGTCCAGGTTGAAGTGTCGTCACTGCTCATGCTGATGCTGACATTGCACTGGTGGATCTGAGATGCTCTGAGGCTCGAGGATCTGCATTCATCTTCCTCATGCTCCCTTTTCAGGCTTGCCAGCATTCGAAGCTCATCATCGTCATCCCCGTGTATTCGCAGACTGCTAAGCGAGAGTAATCGGGGATTCCTGGGACCAGCAGACTTCAGTGTGTTTTCTCCTACATCCTTTGAAACCATCAAACAATAAAAATAAAAAAATACTTGCCAAAAGAGACACACAAACACCCAATCCAAAACTATGATAAGATGTTTCTCTGCAACCAACAAAGAAATGTCAGGCTAAACAGAAGACAAGTAGTCCCAGACAAAGCTCAAGTCGCTGCTGGACATAATTCATTGTTTTGACCCTCTGAGGAAATGTAAAAGATTATCTATTAATCCAAGAGAGCTTGATTTGTGACGAGCCTGGTGTTGCCCTGGTGTTGGATCTATGTCAGTCAATAAACCAGGACTGCAGGGAGTGAAACAAACTCCTTGTCATATTCCTCTGACAACCTTTCAGTCAAAGCCCTCACTGCATGTCGCCTTCTGGACTTGGCACATATCAGCAGTCTGGAGCTGCATTGATCAAGGATGCTGGGATACATCCCAGCAGCGAGTTGTGTAAATGCAGAAACCAACAGCCAAGTGACAGATATCCCTTTAGGCCTTGTGATCGCCGCAGTTTGACTGTTCTCTGATCCTGGATCTTTTCAACTAGAGCAGCGGCCTACCTCAATTTGTAGCAGACCCAAAGTTTGATCTGTTTTCAACACAGCATTACAAAGCTTTACACAAGTCCTCTGTATCTGCCCAAATAAGCAGTGACCGCACATGACTTTTGGCAAAGGAGAAACATCTATACAGAACACAAGCAGAGCTTTTAATAACCTGCAAAGTTGTGAAAGGCCTCATATAACTCTGGGCACCTAAAATAAAGAGAAAAATGTTTGTTTCTGTGAATCATTGGTTAGAGCCGAAGTACCTGAAGTACTGAAGAATGTGGTACTGATTTGAAAGTCACTATAAACAATAATTTAATGGAATTGAATTAAACTAATGTTCATTCAATAGGCTGTATCAAGAAACCTTGTCAGGAGAAGACTGGAAAGATCATTCAACCTATTTTTTTTATTTTGATGTGATTTCCACTAACTCTTAGAAAAAATAAGTGGATCTTTGGTTATGGATGCTCCTGTAGGTTTGTAACTTTTCCTCCAGTTATTTGATATATAACATTGTCAGTATGCTGTTTTGTGCAGTGTAAAGTGGATGAATCAAAGCTTGTTTTTGATGGAAACAGTTGCCTATAGGGTCCTTGAGAGGCTTAGACTTAGACTATGAAGTATGTTCTCTGGTTGTAAAAGGAAAGCATTTATTAAAAACGGCTTAAAGATCTGTGGAGCAGCAGACTTAATTATCCTTGAGTCTTCAAGAAGCCTCTTTTATTCTACACAGTCATTTGATTAATTAGGGATAATTTCCTACATGTTTTAGCTTCTACAGAACTTTTCACAGGATACAAAATCTTACAAAGAAAGAAGGAAACATCCATATTACATCAACATCTTTGTCTAGGACTTATCTAAATAAAAACAAGTGTATTGCTTTTTTTTTCTTCTCAACAACGGTGTTAAGGTTTCAATCAGAAAGTGATAGCGATACAAATTAATAAACTCATCTTGCCATTGCAAACATAGGAGGTGTTTGTTTGTATGTCAAGCTTATTTTAGCTGATTTGTGAGTGTGTGATAAATAATGAACTTGTTTATTTTGTGAATGTTGACACAGTGAGAGGTTATCCAAATTGGCAAAGTCTTTTTGTGACAATTAGGCAGCAAACGTGGGCATTTCACAGTGGAGGTAAATAGAGATGCTGGCCAATAAACAGCTATTCTGTTAATAATAAGGTGTAGAGCTAAAATAATAGTCATTAGGTAATTAAGCAGTACCTTTGGTTTTAAGGGATCCTTCCCCTTGACTTCTTGCAGGAGCCTCCGAGAAAGCGATATACTGCTGCTACCAACCAGAACTTGGCTCACCCATGGGTCACACTTCTGTTCCTGTCTGCTGGGTGTTGCGCTGGGTGAGAGGCAGCGTGTGGGGACAATCCCAGCAGGTTGAGCTCTTTCTCTGGATGCAGAGTGTTTACTAGCGGCAGGTGGACTGAGCTCTTTTTGTGTTCGTTGGTCCATGTTAAGACATTCAGGATGGACTTCAAGTTGTACATCTGAAGCTGGATTGGGAGATCTGGGAGTAGAAGGGCTGGACTCAGCGCTAGTTCTTTTTTGTTGGAAGGCAATGTAGGTGTTATCCTGAAAGAAATACGGGGGATAGGATAAATATTGACCTAAAATGGTTGTAAAACACACTATAAAATGGATGATTAGTCATGACCTATAAGACTGTTTCCAGTGGTTCCGATGTTAGCTCAACAACTTTGATGTTGTGTTCTGCCCTTTAGATAAGACGTCTGCTTAATGAACCGTGATAATGAGATGGCAAACAGTCAAAGGGATTGAAAAGATGTTGGTGGCTTAGCTTTAAATTAACCTCACATTTAAAAAGGCTAATGGCATTCTCTTTCAGTCTGCTAACGTTTCCCACCTTCAGATTTTAAGTTAACACTCAGTGATGTAGTTCAAAAGTTGTCGCCTACCAATCAGGTTACATAACACGCAGCACATAGAGACACTGCATGTGTCTTTTTTAACATTAAAGGAATACTCAGCTGAAAACCAAAGTTTGGAATATCAAACACTCATCCCTGTAGGCTTGAAAGATACGTGATTCTGAAAAGTTTGTAACTGGCTCCTTCACTGAGGACGGCAGCTGGATTCACAACAGTGGATTCAAATTGTGACCCAGTTTTCAGAGCGAGGGAAAAAAGAAAAACAAGCATGGAAACTTTTCAAAAAAATCCTCCAGCAAAAAAACACTTCTGTCTCCAAAACAGCTATACCAAATGACCAAGTAGAGTATGTACATACATAAAAACAGGCTGGGGGCAGACAGAGTTGGACTATTAGAAAAGCTGCAGTTTGACTGCGTAAGAGCAAACTAAGCATGTTTGCTCGAATATTTCTCCAGCATGATGATGCTAAAGAATTTGGAAATCTTCTGCAGTGAAGCTGAGTCACAGCTGGAATAATTGACAATATTTTCTCAGCAGCCATTTTTTTCTGACATCATGCTCACGGTGGAGGCTCAAATGTTACTAAAAGCCCTTTTAGACTGCTTTTCCGAAAAAGCGCTGTTAATAATCTCAATTGTCATTACGTCTTCGTACATTTATATTTAATCTGCAATGGCATAACATTCTTTTCCCGGTCTGTGAATTCACAATGGGTTTTCGGTGTTTGCGGTAGAAAGGCACAGCGGGAGTCAGCCATGCACAAACACAGCGCTACTCTCCCCTGCTGGCTCCACTGATACTGTCTCGCCTCTGTAACTCCTCTGTTGCATTGGATCACTTTGTCCCACCATTACGCCTCCACAACATTAAGATTGAAGGCAAAAAGTGGTAGGGACGTAAATATCACGCCTTGGAACAGCAGTCTGCATAGGGCTATAGTGTAGTACTGCAATGCTCAAAGTGTAGCGTTGTATAAACTTAGGTTAAATGACAAATCATGTTTGTGCTTCAATTAATTCCTAGCAAATGACAACAGAGATTGAGTTACATGCTATTTTCAGTTAGCTTCCTAATGAGTTCTCAAATATATTGTTTAACCTGGAAACACGAGCGAACAAATACGAAATGAACAGACAATGGAGAGTGAAAATGCTACAGAGAACATTGATCAGACAAAGTCAAAGTTAGCATTAAGCCTCTTACTAGCTGATATAACTGTTAGGTAGTAAGTTGCTAATGGCTAAAATAACCATTTGAGTGTGTTTTTTAGTACTAGATAGTAAAGGCATAGAGTCTTAACTAACTTTTTTTTTTTAGGTAAAGATATGTTTTCTGGGAATTAGTTTAATGCTGATGTTAGTTGTTGTCTAATGGATGATAATGTACAACCTTTTACTTTTAAATATGGCACGATGTAAATAAAACAAACAATTTGTCTTAACTTTTTTAGCGCCAATTCATAACAAATGTCATCTCCAGACACGTCACTAAAAAGTATCGGTCTAGACCTTACTGCTTGATTTTCACGATAGATTGTCTTTTTAGTTGCTGATTAATCAAGAAGTGACTAGATTACCATGATTAGCAGATTAATACGTTAATCCATTTATAACCTGTGACATATCAGTGAAACCTTGTAACAGCATTTTAGCTTCCCACCTTAAGCATGCTGGTTATTGCTGCCTGTATACACAAGAAACACAAGGAACAAAAACCCCTCAGAGCCACAATTCAAGCAGACCGCTTGGTTAAAAATAGCTATATTTTGATTTCAATTCAATTCACACAAAATGCAGCTCATGAAAAGACACTGTTTTATAATGTCTTCCCAAATATCACAATTCTCAATGAAATACATAGGGAAACAATCAGGACTCTCTTCAAAACCTATTTACTCCATTAACTCCGTTGGATTAACTCCAAATAATATAGACATTGTTTCTCATAATTTAATTGTCGTAACTTCCCTTCGAGCTGAAAGCCTCGCTGATCTTTATTGCTTTTGTTGGCTGTCTCTATTTGAGATGTTTTCTTTTATCTTTGAGCTTTTTCAGGGTTCAAAGATTATTATAAGCCCCTAAGGGATTCCAGCTCATCCACTCCATATGTTATTAGTTTTTTTGTTTTCTCTTTGTTTTTATCCTTTTTGAAAGTGAAAGTGAATACAGTAAACAACGACCTACATATATTATTGATAGATCTTATATCTATGTGGCTGTCAGTGTATGTTTGTTTGTGCGAGTGAGTGAGTGAGTGAGTGAGTGAGTTTGTGCATGTGTGAGTGAGTGAGTGAGTGAGTGAGTGAGTGAGTGAGTGAGTGAGTGAGTGAGTGAGTGAGTGAGCGAGCGAGCGAGTGAGTTTGTGTATGTGTGAGTGAGTGAGTGAGTGAGTAAGTGAGTGAGTGAGTGAGTGAGTTTGTGTATGTGTGAGTGAGTGAGTGAGTGAGTGAGTGTAAAAGCCTCTGTGCTAGCCTGTGTGTTAAGGGCACGCAGTAACGCAATGCTTTTCTAGCATTTGATCACGTGTGTGTTATACTATGCTACTGCACAATGTATTCTTTCTGGTAATATTTCATTAAAACACCTCAACTGTCTTCAATATCGAACTTGAAAAATTGTTGTCCTGCTGTTATTGTTTCTCAAACCTTTTTTACATAGTTTATCAACTGAAAATAATTACTTTGTTTAGCTTTAATATTTCTCTATGGTTGAGAACAAATATTAGTTCAAAGAATTGCATGAACCTGATGCAACACCTTGAAACATGATATTGCTCTCTGTTAAGAAATAAGCAACCTGCAACAAATGAATGAAAATCAAAATCAGGCCAACTTGTATCAGAGGGCTACTCTTCAATACCAATATAACAGCAGGGTGGTAAAATATGATGGATAGCAGGCTAAAGTTTAACGCATTGCTCAGCTGTAAAAAAAAAAGTTTCTTATGGACTGTGAAAGTTGTAATGGGATGAAAAGCTAGTATCCTCAGCATTGTAGGGTTGACAAGAATGGTCAGTCAATATGTTTGTCATTTATAACACCTTTGTAGTTACAATGCAGTTTTTGTCATGGGCAAACATTCTTCATTTATTGAGTAAATATATATTTTTTATTTACATGTAGTACATATTTTGTTTTTGTTCACTCATCTACAGGCTGTCAAAGATGCTGTGCTGCTTGCTCTCTGTTTATCTTACATTCTGTCCCTGATATATCTTTAAACTAACATTTATAGAGGGAAATTCTTTGAGAAATCACTAAGACACAGAGGGCTAGGAATATTTTTTGTCTTTCAGTTTATCCCCTCTTCAGATCTATGCAAGCTACTAACAAACAGCACAAGCGTTTTGCTGTGTCACTTTTAGTTTACTGAACCAAGGGGACAGAATAATCTGTGCTACTTAGCAAGATGCTTTCCTTCACGATGGGCAATTTTCACACATTTCTCTTGATAATTGTCTGAAACTAAGATCCAGCAATTAGCGGTGAAAAGAGAGGTAAATGGACTGTTTTCATAAAACCACTTTATCCTGGACTCAGAACACTAGAAAACAAGATAATGCTACCTCGCAGATAAATAACACCACCACACTGAAAGACAAAAAGTAAGATCGCTTGCTAGGAAAACATTCAGAAGTAGAAGTCATCTCTGTTACTTAAGAGCAGAGTCTATAATGAATCCCTGCCCGATGAGATAAAGAGACGAATGACAGTCAGATACCAGGGCCATGAGATTTGAGATGCATGTACCCTCCATAAACGTATACTATATTGACAATTTAAACTTTTTCTGGGCCCAACAGACACCATTTGAGAGCAGATGGAACTTGCCTCAAACTGTTCATCTCTAATCTGTTTTACTCCCCGAGTCCCCCATCTGCTCCCTCTGCCAATGACAGGAGGAATCAGTGTCCACCCACATGCCAACTGCTTCCTGCCTGTGAGAACTCACTTTCTTCACCTTCCCAAATCCCCATTCTGCTCTCCCCCATGCCCAGTCATACCCCCCACACACACACACACACACACACACACACACACACACACACACCACACACACACACACACACACACACACACACACACACACACACACACACACACACACACCACTGACGTTAAATAACCCCTCTACTCTGCATCTACCTTTGCTGGTGACTTTAAGTTCTCCTGTGTGCCAATAGATCTCTCAATTCCTGCCTTGATAGGTAATAGAAATAGACTGATTACCTCTGCTCAGCCATCAATTCAGCTCATCTGTTACCAACTCTTTGCAATGTTCAGGCACGGCCACCCCTATAAACTTTACAAAGGTAACTGCTAAATATTTGATTGCTTACCAAGTCATGTTTCATCTTGAACTTGTCACACTTCCTTTAACCTAGATCGAATGCTATTAGCTGAAATCTGGCTATATAATGTTGGCAGATCACCAGAGCTCCTTGAATCAGCCCCATGAAACTTTCATTTTTTGACATTTCCTAAACCCGACAGACAAGGTGATGGTGCTAATGCTGCATGTAAGGACAAACTTCATTGCCATCCGTGATCATGTTGTGATACTAAATGTCTTTCAATGCCTTTTCTAACATTTCTGACAGACAATATCTAGAAGTTAATAAACATATTGCACCTGGAAAGATAGAACCCTCCATGACTGATTGATTGATTGATAAAGAAACAAACATGTCACAAGTCACAAAAGAGGATGCAGGTTCAAATCCGACCTGTAGCTTCTTTTTCGCAACTTCCCCACTCTCTCTGTCCCAGATTTCTGACTGTATCCACTGTCCTATATCTCTTGAATAAAGACATTTAAAAAAAGCCCTCCAGGGAGCTGCTCCTGGCATGAGCACCTCATGAACAAAGTGGTTCACATTTTGACACACCCTCCTGCCTACTTGATAGAGAATTGGCCTTCCTCTTTTGTGCTCTCCCTTGGGCATGGGGACGTTGACAGTGGGGCGTATATCTAAGGGCCTGGGAATAATTGGAGGTGAAGGTGCTACAGGTTATAGATGGTTGAAGAATGGGGTGTTGGGTGAGCAAGATGGGCGTGAGCAGAATGGAAACGCGCCGACAAAGCATGCTGCGGCATGGTGGGAGGGGGCTCCAACATAACTCACAAGATAAAAGGTTGTATGGGCTGCAAGAATCAACAGTACAGTTGGTTCTCAAGGGCTTCCCAGTAAGTACCCTCATTAAACAGCTGCCTGGTTAGCAAACTTAACGTAATAGCTATAGGAACATATTCCCCTGAAACTTAAAGCATTGTCAAGTACAATGGAAAGATATCTTCCAGCTCAGACCTACATACAGGAAAGGCTGAACACATAGTGTCACGGTACAGTGCAAATCCTGGAGCAAATTCTGCTGCAGTTAGGTCCTTAGACTTTAAAGAAAATGGGTGACGGAGCTGCAATGAACCGAAACTGGGTTTTACCCTTCTAAGCTGGCTATTGTCAATAAAGGATGGCTGGAGTAGCTGGGTTAAGTCCACATAATTACAAGAGAGAATTTGCAGGGGCAAGGCTAGTGAGACAGTAGAGGGGCAATTAATGGATCAGGATAGGTGGTGTTGCTGTGGCTAGAGTGTATATTGACAGAATGAGAAAATAGATTTGGGTGATGGGCAAGGCAGGAAGTGAGGATGGGTGTGGGTTTAAAAGGAAAGATAAGGAGGAATAGGGGGAGGTTGAGGATAGCCGACTTGATTAATTTGTGCTGGGGCTCCTTGAGGAGCTGAAGAGTTGGCCATGAGAGAAGTAGGAGCTGGAGTCAAGTTGATGTAAATAACCAAAGGAAAAAAATTGGAAGGGATGATGAGATGCCAGGATGTATGTGCCTGTCCAAGGGATTTTGTGATTTTAGAGGAAGTGGCTGTAGTAGCAGCAGAGTGACTACATGCCGGATTTCTTCGGCATTGGTTGGCTCTGGTAGGAAAAAAGAAAGCGCTGGATGCTCTGCTGCTGCTTGTATGTTTATGTAGGGAGAGTAGAGATGACATAGCCTCGCTTTATAGTCATTGCAGAGGAATGGTATGTCGTTTCAGGGATTGTCGGAGGCGACCAGTGTCTGATGTCAGACTGTATGATGAGAATGTGGAGTCGGTCTTGGAGATGAGCAGGGCACACCCTGCCATGATGGGTAGCCTGCTTCTGTAAATGGATGTTAAATGGTAAATGGAGTTGAGCTTGTAAGGCGCTTTCTGGACTTCTGACAACTCAACATCGACGTCACACCTACCCATTTACACCCTGATGGCAGAAGTTGCTATGTAAAGTAACGATCAGAAGTAACTAATCCCATTCACACACATTCATACGCCGAATTCATTAACTCATTGCAATATATTTTTTCTAAATGCAACGTCGATTCAGAAAATCCTGAATTAAATTATTGTGCTCTCAAAAACTAAGGCATGTTTCAAACCTAATTATAGTGTTTCTACTATGTTTAAAAAAGCAGTCAAAATAAGAGGAAAGATTAGTGTTTAATGCACTTTACTTTTTTCCTGTAATCACAGTCATGTTTATTACTTTTGTGCTGTAAATTTAGCTCAGACACAGATGTGCACTTCAGAGCATACAGTACTTTCATGTTTTATTCTTTGTTTGTTGCAGAATAATGTAACGTTGAAATACATTTGGGAGTCAGTTTGTTCTAAACCTAAACAAGCAATGCACAAATAAAATTATTAAACAAATACCAGAAGGTACTGTACTGAATTATCAGAGTATTCAGTACATATCAATATCAATATCGAGGGCATATTGATCAGTATCAAATCAATATCAAATCACGACCAACAGAAACAAAATCGAATTGTAAGGTTTTTGACAATACCTGCAGCTTTAATACGCATCGCTATTAAACAAGTAAGTATTTTGTTGGAAATCAAACTGACTCAGTGATGGTAAGGTGTAGCATTGGAAAACTATTCAGTGATCCAGCAGAGGTCTGGTGTCAATAGCCTAACACATTTTTGAGAAAAACTGGAAATAAGTTTGCCTCTTTGGAATATTAAACAAAACCGTTTCTTTCACAGAGTTACTAACCAAAACACAATGCTTGAGTCCTCAAGGTCTAATAAATGTGTGGCATTTTTCACTCATAAAAAACATATCTAAAATCCAACATTGATACATCAGAGTGCAATTTCTGACACTTCTTCTTCCAAGCCCTTTCCTGAGTTTTGCTCCCCATCATGGCTCATCAGTGGAATAGTTACAGGAGGGTGTATCATGATTGCATTTCTTTTACTGTGTACCTGCATGAAAAACAGTCAACCACTAACACAAAGTGCTCCACAGCGCTGACGAGGTCAAACACTCAGAGAGTCTCCAGACCAACATTTTCCACCAATTTCTGTCAACTTTTATCATTTCAATATACAAGGAACAATACCTGTGAATATTATGTTCTGTCATATCTGAGGCAATACATAGTGTTGAGTTCCACCACCTATAGGCTTTCTTCATCAGCCTTCATAAAAATATAAACATTTCAGCATAGTCTAGACTCTTGTAGTTGGATTTATATAAAAAAGAGCTTTGGTAACTTTTGAGCTTAGTTGTTATCTTGAGTAGAAGTATTAATAATTTCCTCAACAGTAGCAACTTTGGCCTTTGTGTCTTCTTTGGATTATAGATTCGGCTCTCTCATTTTCTACCATGAAGAACGGTGATTTTCAAAATAATCATCTCTCAGAAAAGTTAAAGGTTGTATGGCAGCAAAAATAAAAAATGTCCTTTTAAAGGCTGATTGCTTCGAAATAAAGTGCATTACTCTGCCTTATATTGCTTACTCTTGATCTTCTCTCACAGAATGACGTTACATTTTTCTTCATCCTCCAGTTCATATCAAGTGGATGTCGCTGATTTTAATGTGATCATTTGAAGACATAATCCTTTAAACACCCTTTCAGACATATTTGGGTGTTACCGGTAATTCATTTTTAAATGATAAAAAAAAAAAAAAGTGGATGCGTTTTATCTTCATCCTACTCCTAATTGTTTTCAGTTTACTTCAAAGGAAAGACATTCTTTGTCAAGCTTCATGTGTGCTCTAGAATGTGAAGGGGACTTTAGTCAAATCTATGTCTATAGTGATCTCATTGGCTTTAGTGATCTCATTGGCAACATGCTAACTATCCAAGTAAACATTTTAGACATGCCAGTGGTATCTCAATCTGGGTGTCCAAGCTCCACAGTATAATATGTTTGTCAAGTGTCCATGCTACTCTTTCCTTATAAGCTATGATTGGCTTGTAAACAATGTTCAAGTCAAGGAAACTGAAAATGTTTTCTACTTTTGACAAAAGGTGAACAGGGACATCAAATCACTCTCCAGAACAAATACAGGAAATAACAACCTTAAGAAAATAGTTATCTCTGGACTAAGAAGACAGAGACCATTACTGCAGTTTACAAAGGTCACAGAGAGAATACATTTCCTTTAAACAGACGCCGTTATATATCAAACCAGACCACCCTTATTTGAGTTTTCTCTACATGTATATCGCCACATGCGGGAATGTTGATGGAAAATATTCAGCATTGAGATTGACTGATTCCAAAACCTGACATTTGCTGTTAAGGGGCAGTTTGAGTCAGTTTGTATATCAAGTGGAAATATACTGGCAGTCTCACATTCTTTATGTGTGGCATGTGTCCCACATCTCACAGGAACTATCAGGAAGAAATTGAAAAAAGGAAATACACACATTCAAGCATCGGTCTGACACATGCATTCAGACACTTTACCAGCACCTGTTTTTCATTATTTTTTGTTTCAAATTGTTTCAAAATGGATTTTGTATTCAGCCCGGTGCAAAGAATACATTACTGTAATCCCAAAAGAAAATATTCAAGCTTAACTAACCAGCTGTACAATAAAATTGAGTTCTTAAATCTGAGTTATGAGTCTTATTTTAAAGTTTTAAATAAGTTAGAGCTATTAGCATTTCTTTGAAGATGATCTCATTTTTCTTGTGGTTTTTCATGTGCTTATTTCCCCTGCTCAGTATAAAGCAAATCCATTATTTTTTTTTATAAGCACCAGAATCCAACATTTACAAATGATGTGGTGATTAAAAACCCATTGACCTTGAAGTTTAAGTATCTCGCATACCAAGAAATGTGCAACATGAACAATCCCACTCCGAATCCAAAACATACCATGAGTTTTTAGACTGACGATTAAAAAAAATCCTTAAATGGAGAATTTATCTTTGTAATCTGGTCTTTGAGTATTTGTGTATGTTATGTAAAAGAAGTTTGCCTTTACATATCAGATGGGCAATCGTGTTGGAGAGTTATATCTTTTGTCAGAGCAATCTGACTATCTTTAAATTTAGATTTTATATTTATTAATCAATCATTATTTGTATAGCGCAAATTCATAACATGTGTTATCTCGAGACGCTTTACAGAGCATATGGGATAATATGCAGGCAGGATTTCTCCTTTGTGAACAGTGTACATGTATCTGTCCCTGAAACCAGACATACCTCATCACTCTCACTGCCGATGAAGTCATCTTCAGGCTGGGCCTCATACTGCCTCCTACTTCTGCTCTGAACCTGCTCATATCCCATCTCCAGCCTCTCCTGGTCGCCCTGGCCTTGCCCCCGTTTGGGTGAATGTGGCTGGGATAAGAAAGTGAACAACTCTCGTAGAGTGAGCTCGGGCTCGGACCCCTCATTACTCTCCCAGCTGCTACAGACCTGCAGGTCACCAGACAAACCTGATCGAATCGAACAGGAGACAGACTCTGCTGGCTCTAAAAAATAAGAACAAAAAAAGGAAAATCAAAACACAAGCAGGACAGCTTTAACTTAAGCACGAGTTAGTTATCTCTTAGTAAACATACACTGTTACACTTGTATATAAAAATAATAATTTGCGGCTGTGAGCGTAAAACATACATAATATGAGAATAGAGATTTGATTGAAAACCAAAAAGACTGAATCATGAACAATAATAGAAATCTAAATAATTTTTAATTGTTACATCAGGTGGCTAATTTAATTCATGCTTATTTGATTATACGCCCATAAACATGCACAATAACAATATGCAAAGTTGTAATGAATTCCATCACTTGCCAAACGTCAACATGAATTATTCCTGCGCTGACATTTTTGTCGGTTTATGTTAATTGCTCTGCTTTGCGTTTACCTTTATAAGAACATAGCAGTATAAAAATAATCATCAGTAGTAACAACACCACTTTGCTGCAGAATTGTCAATCATTAAATGAAAGCTCTCTATGAAACTAGAATCACCCCCCCTGGGGTTTGTATGTTTCAAACAAGCAGTCTAGTTGCAGATGTCTAGGTTCATTGAGAGAGAGAAAAAAGGGAGTCAAATTGTTATTGTTTACACGTACTCAGCTCATGGCGAAAAAAGGGATATAACAGCCAAAATATATTTTTCTGGTTTGAGACAAAATTGTTGCAATGACATAAGATGATTACTGGAGAATGGATTTTGCTGGAATGCTGGAGGATGCTTCACGAAGTCGCCAAACAACAAGCAGCAAAGAAGAGTTTTAAAATCACAGTTGTGCCAGTGCTTCTGAGTACAACGAAAATGTGTAAAAGTGCTTTCTCATCTTCTTTTTCTGAGTGGTGATGATACTGAAATTGAACTTGAATTTTTGGATTTTAAAATCTCTACATAACTTCATCGTCTAAGACTAAGTGTGAAATGTGTCACATTAAGCTAACTTTAGTTTTTATGGTATGGTTTAAAACTTTTTAAATCTTTAAACCAAAGATATCACAGTGACGTAGATTTTTTGCCCACATAACTTTTAATCAGTTCATCCTTGAGTCCAAAAAGTTATCTCAAGGTGTTCCTGATTCATCACGTTCACAAGAATAGAACAGATGGATTGACAGGCGGACGGATAAATGGGCAGATGGACAAAATGCAAACATAATACCTCCAGATATGGCCATCATCGGCTCAGGGGCAACAAAAACGCTGACTGCTTTAGAATCCTAATTTTCAAGCAAATACTGTTTCTACACTGCATCCATCATTTGATTTTCAGCTTTATTTTAAATAGAAAGAGAACATTCTACAGAAGTGTTACAATATCCTGAATATAAGGTATCCTGTAGGGTGCAAAATCTTTTTTTTTTTTATCACAAATGAAAGTTTCAATTCATTCATGTGTGCTAGCAGGGACAGTTCAACCTTTCACTTCCCGAATAGGTCTGAGCCAAGAGTAAGAGGCACCTCTATCTGAATGAGTGAGCACATCTGAACCTCTCGACAGTATAATGACTTTCTCTAATTGCCCACTGTGTGGCAAACCCTTGGCCCAGGAGATGTCCCTCTGACTTTTATTTAATGTGCCACATTACCATTAATGAACTGACTACTTTCTGTCTAAGGGCAGGACTGCAGCAAAGACGCTTATTGCTATGAAGAAACATCCAGAAATGAGCATTCCGAACACGAGCACTCATTTAGTGAGGACCGTGCTGCAGTAGGTGTGTGTGTGTGTGTGTGTGTGTGTGTCTGTGGTGGTGGTGAAAGATCTTGTAAATCTTAGTAGAGAGGTTCTCCTACAAAAATCCTGCAAATATCCCAGACGTGGGTTATGCAAAAAATCAAAGAAACGGGAACAAAAGCCATGGTGTGTGCAGTATTGAATGAGGCTTGTTAAAATTCATGCATTATTTTGAAGATGTGTTTTTCTAAAGTATAAAACAGCTACTTGGTAAAATCAGAGCATGCAAAGTAGATGTCAACACCACTCAAAATGCATATTTTTTCTCTTTTGTTCTATCCCCGGCTGTCTTTGTACACTTTAAACACCATCACTCAGTCAGAAAGTGGTGATGCGTCCTGCTGTCCTGCTCAGGCTCACCTGCTGAAGGGTCCTCAGGCTTTTCTGTTTGGCTCCCAGGTTGCCTGCTCTCATGCCTACTGGTCGGAGGGGTGCACGATTCTCTGGTTTTATTTGTCATTCTAGGCACCACATCTGGAGGAGCTGTAAACCAGAATGAAATGCTTTACCATATCAAACCTTTCACCAAACCATAATCTCAGAGTGTAACCAGCAGTGCACACAGTTTACCAGATGTCGCTGGCTTCTCTTTTCCAGTACTGTAGACCCGCAGCTTTTTCGATCCCAGCTTGTCAAACGCTTTGTCATTTGGTGGATGTGGCTGCATACTGCCAGGTGTTCCTGCATTAAGTACTTTCAGCATTACAAAGAACACTTTGTCATACAAAACCGTCAAATAACAGTTTATTTAAGCTTGCCAGGAGCATATCTGCAAACTGATAATGCACAGTGAAGATCGCTGTTAATGAATGAAGGCATTTTACAAACTATGCTTCTCACATTCATTCAGTGCAGAGAAAACACATCAAACTACAATACATTCAGTTGGATTAAGCTGGATAAATTTTTTTCTAATTTCATATTCGAAAACCAGAAGATGGTCAGCAAGGCTAGCCTTTTCATAATAAACTCAAGCCTGCCATTAAAGTAAGTCAGTTAACAAAGAAAACAAAAATGAATGAATGATTAAAAAAAAGTGATAGAAATTGTTTGATATGATATCTGAATACTCAGGGCACATTTATGTGTAGAAACCATGGAGACTTCATTAAACAGCATTAAGATCTTTTTATTAGAATTTTACCCTCAAGCAGAATTTGTGACCTTGGTTCTCTTTGTGATAATTTTTCACTCAGGCTGGCAGGGCTCTGACACTCTGCAGAAACTTTTTGGTTCATTCTAATGGATGAGGACCCCTGCAGGGAAAAGGAAAAGAAATGTTTTTACACATTTATAACTTGACAAGATAGTCCAAATTAAGCCGAGTTATATGTGTTGTTATTAGATATTTGAGTTTACCGTATTTGAGACAAAGAGAGAGCATGTATCTGTTCCGTATGTGGCAGGACTGCTCTTCATCACAGTTTGAGATTGTGGACCTGTTACCCTGGAACCGGTTGCTGTGTGTGAAACACCCTTGGGTTTTTTCCTTCTGTTACTGGGTGTTCTGGGAATGCCTGACTGATCAGAACCTACAATGAAAGTCCAATTGTTGTTTAGATAAGATTTAGCTTCACTCAAGATCATCTTACATCTTTGGTCATTTTGTTCAAATAAAACAACCGAAACTACCGGTATTCTTATTTTGTAGCACAGCAAAACTAAATCTTTGGACCTCAACTTTCTGGTATGTAGGGCTGCTAGTTTCAAACAACTTCCTAAAACTTTTATTTTTCTTTAAAAAATCAGGTTGTTGTTTTATGAAGTAAGCGGGAAAGACTTAAAAGATCTAAAGTACAAAGTCTACCAATAGGGGGTGCTATAAACACCTGTTTACCTTAAGTCCAGCTGCTGAATAAACAACCTAAACACAGATCACAGCTTTTACATTTCACACAATGGAAATGAGAGGTTGCATTGAGACTGAACTTATTGAATTGTATGGGGTTAGGTTGGAGTTATGATAAGGTTATGACCTGACCCTGCTGTATCCATGCCAGGGCTCTTCAGGACTATACCTCAACTAGTGCTCACTGGTCTGATCCCCATCAGAGCACAGAGCACACTTAGGTTCTAGAACAAAAAGGATGGTCAGGATTATACAGACCGAGCAGAGAGTGCAGAAGAAGAAAACATCTCCCTCCTTTCATGCAGCAGATTCACAGCTAAGCTTATGACCCAGGTTTGAAGGTGAGTACACTTATTATTTACACTTACACATGAAAATAATGAGGGAAAGATACTACACTTAAAAGAAAGCTGATTGTCGGATAAATATCTCAAGGAGTGATTTTTCATCCGTAAAAATGTTCTGACCTCGAGAAAAAAACAAACATCTGTGGTGTAAGAGCTAATGACGGTTTGTTTGTTGCTGCTTGACAAAAACTGCCTGCTTACTTTTAACAGTTTCTGACAGACTGGGCACTGAAGCCACAACATTCACGGAGGAACTTTGTCACAGTGAAATGATATGCCTACTTTAATAGCAATCGGTTTAATTATGATTAGGACTGTTATGCTAATAATGCAAATGCTAATTATGAAAAGCCATTTCTTCTGTGAGCTTGCTGCTCTCTTCTTTGGGCATTGCCGGTTGACTCAACACGACTTCGACAGCTGTCAGAACAAATAAATAAGCGCTGATAAAAAGGCCACAGAGGCGGCGGAGCTGGATTACTGGTGCATGTCTTTTTATATGAGGAGATAATTGCAGCTCACTGAAAACAGGTGAGGTGCAAATGAACACAAAGATGAGAACCATGGGAATTTCATATGGGGAAAACAAATCGATTGTCATCCACGTCTCTTCTTATATCGCAATTTCTCCATATGACATCATTTTGATGATTCTCTGTGTATTTTCTGCTTTTCATTTGTAGATTGTGGCTGATAGCTTGTGTTTTAAATTATTGTGTACTTTAAATTACTCTACAAACTACACATTCTGATGCTGTTTGCAGTTTTAGAAGATATTCACTTAATGGACTAAAAAAAAAAATGAGACCATCTCAATAAAAAACTCACATATGAAGTTTTAATATCTCTTTCCAATATAAAGATGATGCTGTTTCAGTTTGCACTCTCTCCTGGGAGGACTTTCAGGGAGATTTTCACCCATGCAGCCACGACTAGTTATGTGCTGAAGGGCTCTAATTTTTGCAATGAGGGCTAAGTTGCATGCGTCTCAATACAACCCAAAGCTTTTGGATGCCTTTTAATCAGGAGAATTAATTTGGAAATGTAGGAATTCCCGCCCTCATTTCTTGACCTAGCTATGGGTGTGGGGGGCATTGACATGTTATAACATATAAGGGACTCTTGAGAGCTGTACTTGTATCAAGTTTTGAATAAACTGGAAATAAGCCTCGTCAAAACCACAATTACAGTTTGAGTATTAAAATAAAAGTTTTTTTTTAGGTCAAACGTATACTATAATGAATAACGCCCAGAAGGTGGGGGTATCATAACTGTTTCATATACTGCTTGGTGTCTTATTCTTATATTATTATGAATAATATGATTTGGTAAAACAACAAGTTACAAAATCTATTAGATAAATGTAGTAATTAAAAAGTACCCAAAAGTACCCTACAAATTGTGATAATGGACAGTGGTTGAGTAAATGTACTTAGTTTATAAATCATTTGACATTAATGTGGTTTGCTCTTACCTACCACAGTCAGAGCTCAACGGTCCAGCCCTCTCAGCTGCCTTCTGTAAACTCTGCATGTTGAGCACCTGAGTCACATGGCTGACACCTGGCGGGAAGTAGCACCCACGAGGTATCAAGTCCATCAGAGCAGAACCACTGAGGGAAATATCTAGATAAAACCAAACAACATAAACAATCTCTGATTCATCCTGATTATAGAATAAACCAAACAAAAAAAAATCATTAGATGTCACATCACCCATTAAAGGTTCAACTTTGATACATAAAAAGATACAAAAGTAAAAACTGTATTTACTGGTAGGTGTGTAGATGTGAACTAAGTAGCCAGCACTGAGTACAGCTTTACTGCAGATAATTTATGTGAGTTTAACTCAAGAAAAACACCAATAAGCTCTAAGCCATCTATTACAGAAAAGAGCTAACTTTTTTTCTAGAGAGACACGATAACAAATTCATGAAATGTATTAACTAATACCAAAATCTACTCATATGTTATCTTTTACAAACCACTGAGGGGATTCGAGGTAATCTGATAAACTAGGTGATAAACTTCATTACCATCACATGAAACTCCTGAGGTCTCCGGTTTGATCGTGAGGATTCTGCGGACTTTACAGGTAGCGAACAAAGTGATTCCATCCAGTGCCAAAAATCCTTTGAACAGTTCATCGGCGTATGATACAAGGTCGATGTACAAAGTAGACCACTGCACAAATAGAAACAATATTATTCCATAGTAACAAGGACACAGCTCAATGCCTTCTATATGTCATGAACACAAATAATAAAGAAGCACAAATCTCTACAGCAAAGTGTCAAATACCAGGTGGATACTTACGATATTGCGTTTCAATCCTACTAAAGGTATCTTTGCATGCAAAAGAGTGGCAGACAACTCTTTGTGCACTGTTGATAAGCGAAGCCTTCTTTTGAGGTGCTGTGAATCAGTTATTCTGTGTGTAACAAACAACAAAACATATAGATGCAGAGCATGAATGGTGTCACTGAAAAGTCATGACCAGTGAGAACACCACAGGCTTTCCTTTGTTTCTAACTGATTTTCTCAAAGGTGTTTTTACTTTTATCTACACAATGAGCTGTCAGGAAGAAGACCAATGCCAACTCTATTATCCCAGATTCATAGATTCATTTTGTATTTTTTAAGGAAAATAAAAGATATTGCAACTTTTATATAGAGAGCATGTTATATTGTAACAGTACGTCTTCTAGTGATGCTTTAATAATTCCTGGTTTTACACAATAATAATAATAGTAATTTATACTTTATCTAGACAGCAGCACATTCACTTGAATAATTCAGTACTCTGACTTTGTATGAAGCGTAATCAAACATGAAGACATCTGAGCCTTTTGAGGATCTTTGTTGCATAAGCTGTGTTTTATTGATTATTAAAACACTGATAACACGCAGTGTGAAATTATTTTGGCTGCTTTTAATGGACGACTTCAAATAGAAATCCACACATTAAAGTCAGTTTTACAAAGCATACTATTCCTTTTCTATATAATGCAGTCCAATTTACTTTGTCTGACAAGATAAAAAATAAAAAAACCTGCTTAATAAAAAAATAGTTCAACAATATTTAATCAAATTGCTTTTTAAGCAATCCTTGCTAATATGATGCAGTTTCTCCCCGGGCCACAGGTTTTCCTGCCACATATAAATTAGTTTTCTTTTACTTTTTTCCCCCCCAGGAGCCGGTAGGGAATTCACCTTGATTCTGTAATTATCATATGTTCTTAACTGGGAATTATAATTAACAGTTCTCTTAAATGAGAGTCATATTTAAAAGGGTAAATTTGCAGTCTATGGCTACCATATTGGCAAAAAAACAATAAAAAATGTGCCTTATAAACTATAGGCCTAGATGTATTGAAATCTTATTGAAACACTTTCAAATGCTGTTAAATGGTAGTTGCCATGTACAAAGTATAATATATGTATGTTTTTTTTTTTTTACTTTTTGTAGTACTTACACAAGCTCTATGGAAAAATCTTTTAGCTGAGGGATATTCACTTGAAGCACCAAGAATCTTTGGAGAAGCCCGACTATGAAAAAACAGACAAAGAAGAGAATTACTCTGAACATGTAAGAATAACAAAGCGTCATTTACAAATACATTCTGGTATGGATGTGACTTACGAGACATTTTCCCATTCTCTGGCATTTGCATCTTGACTGTCTGGCTGCTTCCTTCGAGGCAGTAAACAAATCCTCGGACTTCTTTATCATACTCCTAAACAAAGAAATAATAAAAAAAGAGTCCTGGTTAAGTGGGACCAAGTTTGTGTGTGGAGCATGTTTCTGTAGAGCAACTCCTGCAAAGGTTTTTATTTAATGAGGTTTGAGATGGTATGACAATATGTCAAAAACAGCTCTCTGACCAAAAAAAATCCACTGTCTGATCATGAGGAGAGATAAAAAAAAATGTTTGTAGCAGTGTTCGAGTCTTTAAATAATCACATAAAGGCAAAGTGTTTCCCTGATAATGGGATTCTATTATTGCATAAGTGAATATATGCCCTCTCTCTCAACCAATCTCACCCACAGTTTCAATAGGCTATGTGATGCAAGGCTGTGGATTTAGGTTAACATTACTCAGTGATTCATAAAAAAAAAAAAATGAATGTGGACCTTCTATATAGAAAGTTACCTTTGGAAATGATCGGTCAGTTTTTGATGCGTCGCTTGATTGATCCATGTAGGGGGGTGATTCAGAAGTGTTAAACTGTATGATGTCTACTTTACTTTCTGTACAGTGATAGGTCTACTTAAAGACTAACTAAATTTGACTTTAGTAGGACCTAATAGTCATCGTGTTTCATCGCCAAAACAAACAAAGTCGATAATGCAACTTTAAAAAATGCACCTTGTGTATGGCCGAAGGTCCTCCGCTAAGTTTCCATTTAGCTACAGGGTCTTTTCCCTGTCCACTGAAAACCTCCACCGCTGATCCACCCTGCCAGAAACAACAGCGTGGTGTAATTTTCACTGTTCTAATGCAGCTTTTGTTACACCACCGGGCAAAAGCTCACAGCAGACACAACATGCTGCATCGTGTTAGTAACGATGAGCACATACTGCGTTAGCTAGGTTAACAAGGTTACAATAAACTTACCTGGTAATTATTCTTGAACATTTTCACGCCAGTCGACGCTCGCGTTTACCTTTCTTTGATAATGAAAAAGGTAGACACACTGAAATGCATACGTTGTTACAAAGTTTAAGGAGCGTTACCCATAAAAGCAGCGCATTTGATCTTTTTTAAGCAGCAGTTATGGCACACCATTTTGGCGAACACTGGTCACCATGGTTACCAGACGCTCCCAACAATCTGACGGGCTGCCATGAACGTAACGATAACCTGTAACAAAGTGAGCTTCTGCTCTTTTAGCGCCCTACAGTAGACCTTACTCATTCATTAACAAAAAGTACATCCCCCATCTATAAATTATAGCCCATTTAAAATTGTTGAATTATATTTTGTTTGGCTCTTGTGTAATTTTATGCACCTTGGCGGATGGACACCTACATTTGGTCTTTTTTAAAATAGGCCTTTTGGGAAGAAACAAACGTCAAGCCTCGTTTCCTCTGTGTTTACTGTCTGAAATTTAATTTGACATGTAGGCCTCTTGTAAAATTCCATATTGTAGCCTAACTGCCTCATATTGGTTTTACAAAGCAAAGTCTTCACATTTTTTGATATCAGTTTTTATTCCAATGCCCTTAAATCAGGACAGTAGCCTATAGGCTATTCAGGCTCTTGTTTTTCTTAATTCCGATGGCAAATTGTGTTTTTTCTCTAACCTTGACCTAAAGGGAAGAAAAAAATTATTTCTAGTAGCCTACCAGACAATCACTTTTAAGGCTTTTTACAGAGTGGGATATGATTTTGTAAAGATAGGCAGAGATGTTTCTCAACAGTTATAGGCTATAGGCTAAATAGGTCTAGATTAAAGTAGTAGCCTATATCCTCTTGAAATGCAAAAAAAACCAAACATAAAACGTGTTGTTTCATTGTCATTAGCTTTGTTTAGCCTGGCAGCAGTGCTATATACAGATCAAAAAGATGTCTTTTTAATTAGCTACTAAGGGAGACCAGATCCGGAAGTACTACTGTATGGCTTACAGCTTATCAACATGTTTTGCATGTATCTGACTTCAAACATGTGATGGTCTCAGTTATTTATGGATATAGAACAAAAGATTACAGAAACAATAAATCTGTCCAGTCACACCTCCGACTGCAGTTGAGTTTTATTGTTCCTGAACAAACGCCATCGCACACTTTCATATCTTTGTCCCAGTTTTCCTTGTGTTGGATTTCTTGTTTTCAGAATCGCTGTCCTTGTTTTAAAAAGGATCTTCAGATGTTGTAGCAAAACCTTAGCTTTTTTTTCTCTGGAAACATTTTCAGAATAACTAACGAGAATGCATTACAGGAAGATGAATACAATATGTTACAATAGTAGAGAGGACAAATCTCTCATTGTCATTTTATGAGTTGTTGGTTAAGTCTAAACCCCTCCTGGAGGGGTCATACAACAATCTATAGGAAAAGTACTAATGGAGTTGTGTAACACAGACATAAGACAGGAGGTACCAATGGATTTTTCCATTAAAATGTTACAGACGGTGTTGACTTTGCAAAGTTTGAAGTTTAAAGCTCCTGTAATTAGTTGTTGGCTGGTTATAAAAGGGATTGAAATTAATACTGATGTCTTTTATATGACTTAGGAGAGCAAACCAGACCAGCAGGAAAAACAGTGATTACTTTATAGTTCATTTGAATGCCCGTTTCTGTGGCTACTGCAAAGTACTTTGATTTTGCATCAATAATGGTGACCCCTGTGGAAAAAATGATATGTCTGAAATCTTTGCTGATCCTATATTGTATATGAAATATTATGTAATATTGAAAAATAAAATATATCCTTGAATAGTCTTAAACTGTCAAACACAGTTTTTTTTCTCAAAAAGTCCACTGCACAGCTCATTGCACCTTTTGTACATTTTGTGTTTTATATATTGTAATAGCTTCTTATACTGTATTATTTAAGTTGTTGCTAATTCTGCTTTATTTCCTTGTTAATTGTTTAGCCAGTCAAATTCCTTGTATGTGTAAATGTACTTGGCAATAAACCCCGATTCTGACATTACTCACTGTGAATCTCTTTGCAACAAATGAAACAGAAACTCAAACCGGCTGAGAGGCCTGTGTTAATGTTAGCTTAGCATGACCAGTAACTAGTACTTTTTGTGAATGACTTCTGACATAACTTAAAGGGGCTATATGTAACTTGAAAAAATTCTGTGTTTGTAGTGATACCGCATGGCCGTTAGACGAACTACACCAGTAACCTGTTGCTCGCTCTCCCTCACGTGCTCATCATATGTGCTCGTACGTACACAAACGAGCATCATCATTGGCTGTGAAACACTGGATATTTACCGGCATGTTTACAGAGGAGGTCATACACGTGTGAAAGTCTGTGAAGGAGTCTGTGTGTCTGTATTCATTCTCCATCCTACAAACGACAGTCTCGGCAGAGCGGGAGTGTGTGATGAGTTTGTCCGCCTTTGAGAGCTCTTAGGGCGGATAGAAGTGTGTGGAAGGTGGCCTCTGGCTGTGGAGGTGAAGACCTGGAGTGTGTGATGAGTTTGTTCTGTTGATCTCTGTAAGCGGAGCGGAGTGAGGAGGACGTTGAGAACGTGCATAAAGTGTCACTTCCTGGAGCTTTCGCGGAAAATACGACCCAGGGAAACTTTTTATACAAGCAACACAGACAATGAACATCTACTTTTTCACATCAGTTAACCGTTCGCTTATTAATGGGCGATAAAAAAACGATTTCTACATGTAAAAAGTTACATATAGCCCCTTTAAGAGTAACTCATTGACAAATCATTTCAAACATTGTATTTTCAAGCAAAATAAAACACACATGGACTATTTTCACATTAAAACATTTTATTCATTGTTACACATATCAAATATATCTTTGTTAGTCACCTGTTGCTCCACAGACTTGTTTGCACTCTCTCTCAACCAGGAACTGTCAAACAGAGGTGAAGCCAGCCTGTGGCTTATATGGGGCTGTGCAAAGTGGAAGGTTCAATGTTTTGTAGAGGTGGAGGGGGGTTTAGGTTGTTGAGATTATTTTATTTTTATTTAAATGGCTGTTTAAGTATTTACTCAACTGAAATGTATTTTGATATGATTTAAGCCGTATTGCTGATTTTTTTGTTTTGTTTTGTTTGCAGAAGAGGTTATACTCCACTGAGAGTAAATTGATTTCCAACCCCTTTTGGTAGGTGCCATCTCCTATATATGAGGAGGCTTGAGGGCCTTGCAGGTAGTTGGAGGTTGGAGTGGCACGGTGTTGGATGACAGTAATCAAAGAGTGTACAGAACTGTTTAGAGCTCAGTCTCTTCTTTTGTTTGTCACTTTTTGCATTTTGTTATTTTTTCTCCAGACCTTCACTGTGCGTATTGCTGCACTTGATTTTTCCACTGTAAATAAATTGACTTGGACTGCATTTAATGCTTTAATTATACTAACGCGTACCTTCCTTGTTGGCCTTCATATTCCTCTAATTTTTTTTTTTTTTAATGCAATATGGGGGTCAAAAATCCCAAACTTTAACTAAATGTTACCTAGCAGAATACTACTTTAATTATTTTCAACTTATATATCCGATATATACCTTGTATACAGGACAAGGATTCAAATGTGAAAAGACATATTTCTCATAGAGGTATTTTAAAGTCAATAACATATTCTTTTGTAACCATGGTGATATGTCATTTATTATATTTTTTTTACTGTCAAAAAAAGCTTCCTAAGCATTCGTAGAACTTATAAGATGATGCTCTTAACATGAAGGGTGCTTGAAGTGATGACCACTTTAGCAGTAACTAACTCTTAACTCCGCCACCTCTGTATCACTGCTGTATTATGACTCTCAATGCAGAGCTGTGAAAGACGGAAACAGCGTCAACAGTGCATGGCACAGTGAAAGTTTCATAATGAACTTTTTGAATGGCTTGACACTGATTGGGACGGACAGCCTCATTAAAAGAAAGCCTGGCATGCGGTGAACACTGACGAAGCCGGTATGGAGAAATCAGTTAATAAATCAGCGCTTGTTAGCATACTTAATTATGACTAATTATTCACTCATTATTTTGAAAAGGATCTATTCATTTGCATCAGTCAAAACACATCAATTAGTGTAGACAATGTTAGTTTTGATATTCTGTGGAGTGACAGTAAGACAAGGTGTTATTTCATTGTTGTAATGACTGCATTCATTCTAATATTCCTTTAAGGTTTTTTATGATTAAACTTTGAATGCCGTCAAGGCTCCAGAATTACGAGCGTCACAACCAAAAAGCAGCATTCTATTAAGACAACATTTACTGTCAGTTTTTTTCTTGAAATAGATGTTATGGGGTATGAGGCTTAAGTGTTTGCAGGAAGGGACCCTTACAGATGAGAAGCCTGACTGAAGTGCATCTCTATATAGCATACTGTACAGCAGCTGATCTGTAATCTTATTTGTATTGATCCTGTCTAGGTTCTCTCCCCTAATGGTTATAGTTAACGAAGCATGAGCTTCTTTCAGAGTAAAAAAATGTAATCATTCACTAATAGAAAGGCCAGACAACGCTTTCCCAGAAACCTATATGCACTGTACAGCATTTTTTGCTTAAATCCAAAGGTCAAAGTTTCCTTTTGTACATGTGAATGATCAAAACAATTATCATTCATTTAATTGAATAGGCTTTGCTTTTGGAAAAAAGCTTCTTGATCACCATCAAAAAACAATGCTGTAAGCTGGGAAATATTAGGTTACATAGGTGACATATATCGTCAAATCCCTGATAGTTAATTTCAATTTGTGAATGTAAACATAAATGGTTTATCAAGGTTACCACAGGATTTCATTTTTTATGTTAATGTTTTCAAGCCTTTTTGCCTGATGCCTAAGAATCAATCAAGGCAAACATCATCTTGCTTTTTTTGAGCTATTTGAATTTGCTATTTGAAAAATTTGACAGAATGTCAGACCTATTATTGTCTTATTTGCATTCAACAAATAAGAGCCATATTTATAGATTTGCTTTTTTAAAGA